CATCTGCCGCAATGTGTGCTGCTGGTTTTCTCGACCTTTTTCAGCTTTATGTCCTACACCCCGTTGGGCAGCAACACAAGGCGAACATATTATCATTTACCAACCCACACAGGAGTAGTACTAGTGACAATGTGAAGTCCATACGGTCGGAGAGAACCCGAAAGTTCGTGTATGTGCTTGCTCGATTGCCGAAATTTTGGATGGTTGGATGTCGTGTTATAAATTGTCGCCCCACCTGTGAAGTGTAACCTTCATTCAATCTTCTGGGCGTACTTGTGTGATTTTATTTATTTAGCATTTTGTCTTATTTTGCCACGTTCTGTGAACAGAAGCGCCACAACAACACAGGGCAGGGTCATTGTGCTCAAGCGGCTTAAGTTAAACCGCTGTAACACGTTCTCTGCGGTGCGGCGGGACTTTCCATGGGTTCTTACCCTAGAGCCTCAATACTCAAGCCCCAAGATACGATCATACGACAACACCACGGGCCGATATAAAATGTTTGGCAGGAGGTCACTTCTGGCCTCACCTACTCTACTCTGGCCACGCTCACCACACTTCTCCAGCCCAACCCGTTCCCTCAAACTCCCGACCACGTCCTCACGACAGCAAAACCAGCATCTCAGCTGCAATTGACGAGGCATCCAAAGCCCCAGCGGTTGCCTTTCCATTCATCACCATTCATTGATTACTTTGGCCGCCTCACAGAACCCGTACTCGGTCGGTCGCAGTCATGCTCATCTCACTCTGACACACAATAAAAGCAATGACTCGGGTGCGAGTGGCAGCCGATAGTTTACCTCCGCAAGGCAGCAGCAGTTCATCGAAACTGTCATCCAGGCCTTGTCTTCGGGCTGTCTGTCTATCGACTTTGAACTCCGAATCATGAGGCTCAAAAGAAACCGGTATGGGGCAAGGCGATGGCACTAATAGGGTCCATTGATCGATTACGGCAAGATTATCGAGCGATCTTTCTCGTTGGCAGCTGGCCTGCCCACTTAGATTCGGTAAGTGACAGTCATTTTGACTCATGGCGCCAGGGGCGTGTAGGAGACAAGGGGTATGCAGCGGGACCAATAAGACGCCGAATGAGCACTGGCTGAAGAAGGCAAGTAATGTGCTAAAAACTCAGCTGGGCCTGTCAATATAATATCATCTCAAGGATGCGCGACAGCACGTGTCAGGGGCGAGTCCGGAACAGTCATATGTAAATGAAAATGGTTACTCATCAAAAAGAAAAACATAGACTCATCACTAATCGCCCCTATTAAATCCAAGGGGGCAAATACGTCGTTGGAATAAACTTGTCAGAGGCGAATAAGGAAAATGCATGGAATGTGGAAAGATCTTCTCCCGCCTCTTCGGGTCGCTTTCAGGGGCGTGGTGGCAAGGCGTGCCGTGCCGTGGGGTATTTCTCGCTAAAATATTTACCCCCTAAATACAGGAGGTGGGGTGGTGTGTCTCGTGACCAAGATTCCCAACCACCTAAACTTTCCAGGCATGGAAACTCAACACATCGATTTTTACCGAAAAACATAAACAAAACAAACCTCAACGAAGGTTTTCAGATAGATTGTTGATCAACGCGTACTGCGAAGATCAAAGTCCATGAAAAGCTGAAAGCGTCGTGTGTTTCCTGCACTCAGCCACACGCAGGTTGCGCGTTGGGTTTTCCTCGGCATCACCATACATACCTTCGCCACAACATATCTTCAAGCTGCAAATAGAAATGGGAATTTGCCGGCACTCCCGGCATAGTCGTGAGTGACGAAACGAAGCAAAAGAGAAAAAATAATGGCGTTTTGCTGTTATGGTGCAATGTTGAAAGATCTTTGTTTAATACGAAGTAGATCGTATGGGTATCCTCTGCCTCTGAAACCCGATAGACCCGGTTCGGTCAGCTCCGGACAGGAACACGTGAAAATCAAAGCTCCTGATTTTTTTTATAGAAGGTGACTAATTACGAGATATGGGTAGCAGTGAGGCATCCAGACTAGATGCATATCTCGCGATTATTCCCGAGTCGATTATTAATGTCTCCATGTGTGTGCAGCAACTTTTGACGACAAGTCTTCTCTGAAATCACGGGTACGAGCATTGACCCGTTTGTCCGGAATGATTGCCGGCAGTCGGTGAGCGATTCTTGTATTCCCTTGAATTGAAATGAATAGATGATGGGCTGGAAATAACCCATTCTGTAAGAACTAAGAAGACCCGAGATCAAGAAGGATCGAAGCCTTAGAGAGAAAGACGTGAGAGGATTCTCGTATATAAGTTGTTTATAAATCACAATTTTGGACATCACTGCGAGCAAATGATACTTCTCTACAGTCCTTACTGGCGGGTATATCTAGCCGTGTATGTTCAGGGTTGCGCACTCGCGGTACGTAGGGAGTAGTAATCGTAGGAAATCATTTAGTGGATAATTTATGTTATACACTATAGTACCGAAAGTTATAAAGTCATCAAATCAACATCCTCTCACTAGAGGTCTTGTAGTAGAGCCTGTTAAACTTAAAAGCCCCATATCTTCCTCCTAATGTTTCTAATTTGCCTTTGAGAACATTTCTAGCTGCCTAAAATTCGCCGCTGCAATAACACGTCTTCTTGATTGAAAAGTGCCGTTCGATGTATCCATTGAAAACACGTATGAAGGCATCCGTTCGCCTTAGAAGAAGAGAAGAGCAACACGGTGAAGACAAACTAGGGTGTACGTTGAAGGCGCAGATAATCGAAACATGCCACGTTGTAGATTGATGGGGGTCTTCCTATTGGGACTTCCAAGGAGCACCGAGGTATGCTAGTACGCAAGAGCTTAATAAAACCATTTAGACAGCTACCTACCGGTAGTATGCTTAAAATTAAGGAATGCACTGTATTCTAAAGAAGCGCAGAAGTCAAAGAAGAAGTGGAATGTGAGTAACTGTCCGTGCCCCAGTTTTACGAAAGGGGGCCGTGCTGTATACTGTAAAACAGTGACTCAATGCGCACATTGGTCCATCGTTACTAAACATTTTTAGTTTCTGCGTTAATTCTCCTCGTTGTAAAAATAGGGGTCCTTAGGTAGCTTCCCGTGAATGCAATGCTGGAGTCACGTTCAAACTGCGGTGTGAGTCGGTGTGAATCACATAGTTCGAACGTTGCCTCCAAGGTTTCCTAGGTCGTCTTCTTTGAGCTCCATAACTGCTTCTTCGGGTCAAAATTGCAGATATTCATCTAGGCAGTATTCCATGTGAAAATCGCCTTGTTATACAATATCAGTTTGATTGATAATGGTTGAATACTTGGCGTAGGGCGTGTTATCGATCGGGTTCGGTATGAACACCCTATCATTATAATATGCAGCCAATTTGACCACGGCTGGTGAATAATCGTGCATAGTTGTGAAAGCCTCAAATCTCTAGAAAATTGTGATGCGTTGGATATAAACTTAATTTGCGGCCCTCTGGGGTAATTTGCGCGACCTCTTCCGAGGCTTTCAGGCGGTCCTGGTGACTGGTTCATATTTGTCCATTTTTGGCTTCATATATTGCTCTGCAGTCTCGGACAGGCATTTGTTCATTGCTTTCAGGCTGTCTGGGTTTCAATGGCTGTGGAAAGACCTCGCATAACAAGGATGCCTCTATTGGAGAACGCAATCTACTAGAGTGCGCCCCATGGTTCCTAGCGAAACTTGTCATTCTTAGGCAGGTAATTGGAAGAATCTACACCTTTAGATAGGGGTCAGTAAAGTCGAAAAGGAGTTCGTTCAGGGGCTCGCTTTACAGATCTACCCGTGACTGCGATACAAGGCTGGACTCTTCGAAGCTCAAGTGCTGACATGTGCCGGTGGTGAGCTGAAGTGCTATAAGGCTACTTGCGGACTCTAGCCAGCTTATAGCCCATTTGAGTTGCGTATACTTTCTTGTTTTGTTATATATTTCGGTGCCTTGGGAAGATGAGAGCCAGTCGCTGAAGGATCCATCGGGTCGCGGCGTACTGTATACGTAAATACTATTTTCAAGGAGGCTGAGCTTGCCTTGACCATGAGTGAGAGGGACAAACGAGAGACTGGGCGTCTGTGCTTCCACGAAGCTATAGAGGGAGGACAATGGAGAAAGTAAGAACTATGGCCTTGGGTTTTAAGGGGAGAGGTTGGTGTAAGCAGTTATACCAGTGGGTTGTGAAAACATTGCGGTCCACGGGAGGCATTGAGGCAACGACGCCCTTGATATGCATTTCACGGTGCATTCATTAGTCTACAAGCCATTTAGCAGACGCATACGGACATCGAGCCTCTGCGGCTGAATCCGTGCAGTTGGGGGCTGGAAGAGTCAGATGGTTGAGGCTCACACTATTGTTGCTCTGGGCCGCCCCATGCTCAAAGAAAGAGCAATTGACTCTTCTCGTCTGCCCTGCAGTGTTCTCCTGACCACGATGATACAACATTTTCTCGAGTGCAGGATGTCAGTCGACCACCTTATTTATAGCTGTGCGGACCTACGATTGTGTAATAGAAGAAGACTTCAGACAGGGCAGGGCGCGGTTTGACAATTAGTTGGTGTCTTAGTAGCGTTTGGTTAGAGACATGCACTAAATCGGTGACCCTTTTGAGTTTAGCGTTGATATTCTGAAAGATGCTGAGAATTTGGGGGGGGGAGTGGGATTTGCTCAGGTTTTGTAGTTCGCCATTTTGCAACCTGTTGCCTAACAACGCTGCTCCCAACTCGCTCTCCCGACCCAGAGCCTCATCCGGGGCAAGTATGAATATGGGTTGTCCCCTCTTTGATCTTTCTAACAACTCTACTTCTACCCTCATCTCACCCCCCAAGAATTTGAAGCTATGCACGCTCGCTTTGTCCATAAAGCCAACTCACCATCCTAACGAGTTTTTCTAAGGTAGTCGCATTCCGCGACGGTTATCGGTAATGCCAGCCCCTCCGCCCCCACCCTCATTAAGCATTCCCTGTTCGCGACAATCCAACAGAACACCATACTAATCGTGATATCGACGGCTAGCAATGAACAAGCAGCAAGCACCTGGAGTTGACGAATTATGGGTCCAACACCAGCGCCGAAATCACAAGACCACGCAGTCGTGGGCCTGTATCCATTGTCTCGACCGACGGATTTTCTCCAATTCCGACGACCTGTGGCAGCACTGCCTTCACGATCACAAGAACAAGCTTCCCGAAGACGAGAGCGAGCACCGGAGATATCGCACGAAATTCGAGGCTGAATCAGTGAAAAAGATACGGTAAGCAGCTGTCAAGAGGTCACACGGTCTCTCCAGCCACCAGCAGGCTACAACCTTCTAGGCGGGTGCAGGCTACAGCCTTGCGAAAATGGAAGACTTTCAACGCTGGTGCTGACCCAACTCGTTATAGCGCAAAAGATGACTACCAGCCTCGTAAGCCTGCATTCAACGAGGCTAGAAATGCACAGCCAGAGCCGATGCCGTCTCAGATGAAACGACCACTGTCCTCACCAGCTCCTACCCAAAGTATCTCTAGTTTGCGCGAGTTGAATATTGGCACACCTGGTGGCAGCGAGGAAATCGGTATGATGAATGTGTCTGAGGACAGTCATGAAAGAGATCAGCCGCGGAAGAGAGCTGCTGTAGGAGATGGCATCTCTGCTGGTTCTGCTAGTCCTGCTCGGGAAACATCTGCTTCACCATTGCCTCGTCGCTCCAAGGCAAGGCCAACATCAGCACCGGGACCAGGCGGGTCAGCGATAGATTCTCAGCAACCTTCCATGTTCGATGCACAAAGACCACAACATAATGGAAAGAAACAGTTGTGGAATCCAGATCAAGACACACCCCTTCCCCGTGGTACCTTTGACCCTTCCAATATTGCCTCTATACAAGCGCAGAAGTCGAGACAAGCTTTGCAAAATAAATCTCGTAAACCACAATTTCAACAATCACCTCAAACAATGGGTTCAAGGCCACCTTCAGCCCAGACTGCTCTGAACACTACTCCGTCTGCAATTTACGGAAAGCTGGCTTCGACTCAATCTCAAGCAACTTCTAGAGATGACTCGTTCGATATAATGCTACAGCCAGAGACCAGACCGATATCACAAGAGCAGCTGGTTGCAGAAGTAAAAGGCATCTATGCCGGCTTGGTTATGGTTGAGGCTAAATGCATAGATGTTGACAACAAGCAAGCCGCGCTGGCTGCGGCTGATACTGGAGCAACACCGCCCAAACTGAATAATGAGCAATGGCAGGCTCTTATTGCACTCCATAGAACTTTGCTTCATGAACATCATGACTTCTTTTTGGCTTCGCAACATCCTTCCGCAAGCCCTGCTCTAAGACGTCTTGCGTCGAAGTACGCTATGCCCGCTAGAATGTGGCGTCATGGAATCCACTCGTTTCTTGAGCTATTAAGGCATCGTCTACCGGCATCTTTAGATCATATGCTAGCGTTCATCTATCTAGCTTACTCGATGATGGCGCTATTATATGAAACAGTCCCGGCATTCGAGGATACGTGGATTGAGTGCCTTGGAGATCTCGGACGTTATCGAATGGCAATTGAAGATGATGACATCAGAGATCGAGAAGTTTGGACTGGTGTTGCTCGACACTGGTATTCGAAAGCCTCTGATAAAACCCCGACCACGGGTCGTCTATATCACCATCTAGCAATTCTCGCAAGGCCTAACGCTCTCCAGCAGCTCTTCTATTACTCTAAATCTCTCTGCGTGGCGGTTCCGTTCACCTCTGCTCGCGAATCAATCTTGACGCTTTTTGAGCCGGTTTTAAATTCAGATAATGCTCATGGCCAGTATCGACTTCCCCCTTTGGATACTGCATTTGTTATGGCTCATGGAATTTTGTTCACCAACCGAGATATGCATAAGTTTGAATCCACGGTTAAAGACTTCCTCGGCTTACTAGACAATCAAATTGGCAGAGTCACGCGGAAGTTTATGGAGCAAGGGTATCATATTGCCGTTGCCAACAATGTTGCAATGCTCAGCTTTACGTCTAATGACAATGTACTAATGAAACTCATTTCTCAATCCACTAAAGATGGAGAGTGCCCTGATGTTTCTATGGAAGGAGGAATCCCAGATGTCTCTGCTCAGTCCATGGCCTATTTCAAGAATGCTCAGCACCTCAGCAACGAAACCACAGAAATTGTTTTACAGCGAATCGGAGATCCTAATGTCCTGCCGTTCATCCATGTTACTCTCGTTTTTATTTACTTCATGTCTCGCCGTCGTGGCACCATGAGCTTTCTTCAGGCGACATTTCCTTGGGTGGCGCTGTCGACAATGCTTAATACGTTACTGAGTTCCTACAGCACGCCTGGTCGTATCGAGGATGACAACTTCCCTTCTCCAGAGAAAGATGACACTCGGCCGTTCCCAGAAGACTTTGCAATGCGAGGCCTTCTGTGGGCAGAAGAATATTTCCCAGAGGAATGGTTCACCAAAGAAAAAATCGATGAAGAAGAGAAGTATCACGAGCGTCCTTCGATGACGGCTCAACGAAAGGAAAGGATTCTCTGGCTTGCTTGTAAGATTTGCTCTCTTGGTCCTTGTATTGCATATGACGGGAAGAGTTTTTTTGTGCCTTCAAACGACCAAGACCTCCCATCCAGGGCATCAACTTTTGCATCAGCGACAACTGCCAGTACGCGTACGGGGACTTGGGAATCACAGGCTGCCGATGAATCTGACGTCGAAGAAGACTTGTCATCACCAACGATGCCTACTACAGCAGAGCCATTTCATGATGATTGACTTGCTGGTGTTTCCAGGCAACGTAACAATAGCGGTGCCAGGCTCTTTCAACAAGTCTCTTATCAGAACCAAGCCAGCAAAGATCATTACATCAGTTTACAGGTACATACAGACTGCAAAAGCAGGTGAGCTACATTTTCTTTTAGAGGCTCCTCCTTCCCGTATCAAAGTCTAATATATGATGACAGGAGTCCAACTCACTCAGCCATTTATGAAAAGATCAGCGCTAAACGCTGGACACATACGTTTAACACCACAGATAGGTTCAAGTGCAGCGTTCTGCGCGAGCATAATTTTACGTTCGAGGGTTTACCTTTAAAAGTTATTCCTCTAAAACTGGGCATTGGCAACACTACTGTCCCATCCATTCAGTTATCTCCCCTTCCAGGGCGGCATTCTGGAATTTACTACCGTGTCTCTTTTGGAGACAACCACATACGTTATTTTGAGTCCCGTCACGTACGTTGACTGGCGGCCTTTTGGAGATGGGTTTTGCCTTGGGGGCATGACATTGGAATGGAGGAAACTTTGTACCATCACGCTCATTCTAAAAGTAATGCCGTCAAAAAATAGTTCTGATCTCGACCTGGATACGACACTCTGACATGCATTTTGTTCTCAAAATAGTCAGTCGTGAACCTCCCACGAAATGTAAGTACTTCGTGTATGGTATTGGTTCCCGTGGCTTCCTTCTAAGAAGAACTTGGTTCATCACAAGTGCAGAGCCCATCGCAACCCTCGGATCGCGTCGAAAAAGAAAGGGGAAGAAACCACGGATCGCTTGTTCGCTTGATGCGAACCATGGTGTGTGGAGTGGGTGGCTGCCTCGCGCATCCCTCTCCCCGAACGCGGCAGCCTCATTGGCTGAGGTATATGTAGCCTGACACCCATACCACCCCGTCCTCGAACGAACGAACGAACTGTAGCAAATTAAAACTGTAGGATCCAAGGCGTCAAATCACCGACCGGTATGTGCCATCTACTTTCCGTATAAATCCCTCCCGTTCCTCGGTGAATGAATTTGATCCTTCGCATTTTGCCTCACTGTTCTCGGTTTCATAAATCCTCCTGTTTTTGATTGCCTTCATTCCCCCGCACGGTTCGGCAAAGGTGCTGTTGCCTTGTGCGCGAGTCGGAATGTCAGCATCGGTCAGTTGTCACGTATGCTTTCGGCGGTCCGTTCTTGTTGTGTTTTCTTGTGTTTCTTTTGGGGCCAGCTCGGAAGGATGTGGTTTTGAACGCCTTATTTTTGCGCCGTGCGGTGCGTTATTGGTTTGAGGAATTCGGCCGATGGGGCATTTGAGGCTGATAATGAAATTACTGTTATTTTGCTTACTTCCTTACAGCCTCGCGTTGCATGCAGTCTTGGCATTTTTGTTAAATGAGTTTGATGTCAAATTGCGAGCTTGGAGTTGGAATAGGCAGGAGTGGGGGAGTTGCGGTTAAGTACGCCTGCATTGAGAAGGCGGGAAATGTTACCATATCTTTGCCAGCGTCAGCCTTATCCCAGGAATTTCCGTGAGTTGTTATTGGGAAGGTGTGGTGCGCTGATTTCCGTGCCTGTTTAAAAGCCGCATGAGTTTTGCAGCTCGGTTTCTCCCCTTCTGTTTCACCAAACTATGCGATCGGGTGGAGTAGGCTTTTCCCGGTCGATTTTGCCTACACTTACGGGAAGGAAAGAATGCTTGTCAGATCAGAAATACGTAAGTAGAAGGTGCTTGCTTGTTGGGTTGGGGTTTTGCAGACTCTGTGGTGTTACCTCTTGACGTGCGTGCGCGAGGTTGCAATGAATTTTACATGTAAGTGACACTATCTTTACATTGCTCGTATCTTGAAAGGACGGGAAATCAGGCAAGTCCTGCGGTTGGAGTTTGCCTTAGTTTGCACACGGGACTGAAATGCAGTGTCACGGCATTACAATTCCTTCTAGTTGGAAAAGAGGAGGAATTAGAGTGCACAACGACCAGTACCGCCCGAAGACAGAATTTGCCTCGTCTGGACGTTTTGAAACTGGACCAAGAGGCTGGAGACTCGGTGAGTGTTGGTTGTTTTAGGTGTTTTTATTGGTACCAAGAGATATTGCGAGTTAGGGCTGGATAGGCGCTAGGTGTCGAGAACCGCTGGTGAGGTATAAGTGGATGGCGCTGGAATTGCAGACCGAGTGGTAATGTTGGTTGGGATGTTGGTTCTGTGACAGGATGATGTGTGTTGGTGGCGGGTTAAGCTGAATATGTGAACAATTGAGCTGTTGTACAAGTAAGAATGGAATTCACGTCCAGTGCGATCTACATTGTGATCATCATACCTAATTACTAGCTCTAAGATCGTTCGAGCTACCTGGGGCTCTTAGTTTCAAGAATACAAAAGTGTGCACAATTACCCCCGATAGTCGCCATGCGGTTTCTTCACTTATTCACTCACTTGGCTGGAGAGCATTCCCGTCAATATCTTGATTGTCAATGTAAGCCAATCAAGACTACTTTATGTTCAAAAGAGTGTCGCAGAATACGGTTCTGCAATTATATCAAGATAGAGTTGCAATCTCTAGTAATGATCATGAAATAAGTATATTCAGTACATATGAACTTCTAAAGGTCAACAGACGCACTAGGCAGTATCACAAGTTGGGGACTTACAAGAGGAAGAATTGAGCAGCAGGTTATGTGTATGGATGTAGGCCGAACTTCTGACTGTCCCTTCATTAAGTTGAACGGGAATGGAAAGGGCAAGTGCGAAGGACTAGGGCGGGAAGTTGGTTCAGACTTTGGTGATGGGACTGGGGGTTTAGGACATCACAGAGGTGGAGTATTGTAGAGAGATCTCAGATCAATGAGCTGATCTCATATAAATACTGTATAGTCGATCTATTATATAACCACTTCAGAACCTAAAAGGGTCTATCTCCACAGCCATTATATGTACCCCACCTCTGTCTCTGACAATTCTTTCATTCTTATCAAGCCTTTCAATAAAAATGCCTCCAATAAAAACCACCGCAATTATTCTCTTATTCGAGTATTAAGATGAAGCCGACCAGGAAGGAATGATGGGATCTGGCACGGGCACCGACTGGGACAAAAGAAAACAAAAAAACATACAACAGCAGGTATTCGCTGGTGGTCACCCACCCAACTACTAATCTGCCGATCTAAGGCTTGTGTATGGCAGAGCGGACGGGATGCCCAATCCTCCTTAGTCTATGGTCGTATGTGACAGATGTTAGCTTTATTTGAAATCATGTACCCTCACAGATCTATAACCCACCGCCAGAGATTTTCACTAGCAACTCATTCCGCTCTCTGGTAATCTAAATATCACCTGATTCTCCCACCCTCTCAATTCATTTTCCCATCTCAAACGTAAGACTACCTAGAAGTTCTCTTCCCTCTCCATCCTTTAATCTGGTCCTCAGCCTCTCCCCAGGCGCCAAATCTGAGCCTCACTCTAATCACGTACCTCTCTCTCCTTTCCAACCATGGAAATCGCAATGCGAAACCGTATTCTACCCGAGCAGCAACATTCTACTCACCCCAAACATTGTCATACACTTACCAAATGATTCGCCTGTACAATATCCAACTGCTGCGTTCCGTCCCCATAGCTTTCAGCACCGTCGCCGTCTGCAAAAATAACCAATGGGGGCTAGATTGAAGCCCACTGTAGTAGCCTTCAGGCCAGTCTGGGCGTTTTGGTGATTTGCAGACGGGTGTGATGTCGAGGAATGCGATGACTGTGGTAATTGAGAGGATGGGATGGGGGTAGGCGGGACTGTGTGATGAGCCGGATGATGATTCGCTGGCATATAGAGGAGGGGAAAAGAGGGATGGCGGGGCGGTGAGATAGAAGGGGCATGGCAATCAGGTTTTGGGTGGATGTGGTGGAATGGTTGGTTGGAAAGAGCGTTGACTCTTCGGGGTGGATGGTTGTGAAGTATGAAGTATATGCTTTGGGCAAGGAGCATTAGATCTTCGGGGTTGTTAGTAGCTGCGGCCGCGACGGAAGAACCGGACAGCAGGGTTTCTTGGTAGCTATTATGTGAAAAAGGAAGAAAATGATTTGACATACTCGGCTCCCCGGTATCAAATGAAGCCCGAGAAAGATATCCGGTGAGGTCGGGCTAACTCATAACGCTTCTTCCCTTGGATTCCTCGCGGAGTCTGACTTTTATGTAGATCCGTGAATATCACTCCAAGCTGCGCACTGTGGTTTTGTGTTTGCTGTGCTCACACTTCCAACTTAAAACCTGTTTCCATAATGCACCAATGCCTTGCTAAGAAAATCATTGTCAGAACTAAATATCATAAAGATCCATGCAATGTTCAAGATCCATTAGGATCCAGGCATTGACTGCTTCCTTGTATGCAGCCTAAATCCATGCGGAATGTCAAAGGAACCCTCCACCATCGTCAAATATTATTCCGAATTCACGCTGAGTGCCAACCCCGTCAGCGCTTAAAATTATGAATACCTTCCATAAATCCTGCATCGAATACCATCGTGAATCCAATCACTAGTAGATATCATGTCTCTCACTTAAAAATGGCTCTGATTCCCCTGCTCTTATGGCTGGGAAATGGCAAGAAGTTATCGTGCTTCAAGTCAACATCACGCTCACGCAGGGTATCGAACAGCTCGACCTTGTATCGACGGAAGACGGTTGCGATGGTGAGGTAGAGTTCTGCCTTTGCGAGACTGTTGGCATAAGCAATTAGTAAATGGAGCAATAGGAACTCTGGATCTAGGCAAGAGGCCTAGGCTTGGATGAATTGCTCACTTAATTCCAACGCACGACCTACTTCCCTTCGAGAACGCCACCACGTAACGGTCGAGGGGGGGTGCGGATTTCGATTGGTCAAGCCAGCGTTCGGGAAGAAAGGAGTACGAGTCGGGGAATATAGATTCATCGTGGTGCATCAATGAAGATGACATGCCTACAGGTGTCTGCGTAACTAGTCAGATAATTCCGTTTGGTATATTGAGAGATGCTTACACCTGCTGGAATTGACCACTCATGGAATTGGAGGACTTCATTTGGCGCAATACGCTGCAAGCGTGCCGACACTCCGTAAGAGAGTCTAAGGATATCAGGGAACAATTCACAGTTAAGTCCATGGGTACTTACCTCAAGCCTTCTTGAATAACAGCAGACTGAAGAAAGTCAGCATTCGTACTCTTGTGAGGAATGACTCAAGACTCACAAGATATGGTAGTTGTTCGACGATGGTTAATCTAGCAGACTCGTTTGGATCAGGCATAGCCTTCTCAAGTTCGCTTGCCAGCTTAGACATCTTTTCCGGGTTGTCGACAAGATGGAACGTCGTTATACTTAAGCTGTTTGCAACGGTATCCGAGCCAGCTCCAAGGAGAAGTTGGGCCTCCTGCCTCAATCTTTCCACTGTCTTGTCTTCGGGTGGCAAGTCGCTCTCCAAAAGTGACTGGAAAATGTTACGGGAGAGCCCGTCCGTATTTTTAATTTTGGCATTTTGCTCGTCTATGCTTCGTTGGACTTGGCGTCTCAGTAGCTGGTACAATCAGTATGATATCTCTGTCCGTGTAGGTTGTTCCTTACGTCTTGCCAGTCCAGAAGCAACACCATATCTGGCGAAATAGCCGACGTGATCCATTGGGGTAGTCTTTGAAATACCTTGTAAAGCCATGGAAAGTGTTTCATAAACGTCGTCACCTTCGATACTGAAGCAATGGTCTCGTTCCATTTCGGCGAGAAGTCTTGACTATCAAGGTGATTCGAATAGATGTTAAAAGCGTACAGATGGACAATGTCTGTTGACAGACATGCGAAACTCAGTCTCAAGGGCATTGGCTGGCCAGATCGCTTAAACTCTGCAATTCGACTGCTTAGCTTTTCTACCATTGATGAGATCGTCGGTTCAAGACGCAGAATGCTTTGCTTCGAAAAGAAAGGGCTCAGCGGTTGGCGTCGAAGTCGGTGGTGTTGATGATCAATTGTACTGAAGACGGAATCCGGGATATTAAACTGGCTTGCAAAGAACAAATACTTGTTTCGAGGTGATGTTTGACTATATAACACCCCGTAGTACTCGGGATCGTTGATGTGAAGTTCCCATGGGTTGATACGGATGATGGGACCTGCTCCAATATTAGTAATACACATTCTCTCAAGGCGTTGATACACCCACCATATTTCTTGTGCAGCTCTTTGATCTTGAAAATATATTGGCCCTGCTTGATTATATCGTAGTAGGCCTCATACAAGATTGTTGCTGCGGCAAGCTTTGGTCCGGGGAACTTTGAGAGCGGGCTGAAGTAGAGGCGGCGCACAAAGACTACCGCAAGGCCCAGAATAACCAAGACACCTATAAGCCAGTGCATCTGCAGATTTGGGAAGACTGCCATGTTGGCAATGGACCGTCCAGTGTCGAAAATCCACTTGATACTGAAGATCGGTACCGATGGAAGGGAGACGAGGTTCTTGAAAGGTGCAGCCTATGACAACATAAGGCGAATGTAAAGATGATTCGCTCTAGTCGATGAAGTGAGCACGAGTATTGTGTGGTTAACGATAACAGGAGAAGTTTAGGAGTGATTCCAATCCCTAACCGCCGGGTGAAGAAAGAAGTCTGATTGGTGTTTGTGTGGACATAAAAAGGGTCCCCGCATGCGAGGTTTTGCTCTTAAGGTCATTTGACATCTCACTTTGTACAACTCTTCATTTCGATTTCATTTATTTTTGCATTGAAACAACATTAGATTCACATCAAAGCTCCTGGCCCTCGAATCAAACAGAGAGAATTTAAATGCAAAGTGATGAAGAATATTCCAATATGGGACTGGACGAACCAGAGTAGGTTTTGTTCCCCGCACAATTTCACCCACTTGTTCTTTATCATGCGAGGAAGGATGCTGTGCTCTCTAGCTGAGAACCAATGGACACAGGTCAAACGTGAGAAATATCTTTCGGGCTGAAGTGAATGCATTGACGACTTCCTTGGGGAACACCTTCGAGACTTGAGAGCGAGGATCTATGGGCCATGTGACATTCCTTGCCAGCCACACTGGCCTCTCCAAGGTTATGACAGGATGCCATGGGCATCAAGGGTCTTGGTTGCGCACCTGCAGTCTGTGAATAACCTCCGAATCTGAGTACTGATTATGGAGAACAAAATATTCGTAATCGCCTTCCATTACTCGGTACTCTGGCTGCCTCATTTAAGGGAAGGAACACTTGGCCTTCATACAAAGTTGAACATCTAGCACATCTATTGTTTATAGATCTTCTGCAGCACGTTCATGTTCTAAGAAGCAAACGAGATCAAAACCGTGTGGTGTACCTCCAGCTTATATAATCCAATCTAACCTATTTCGAATATAGCGTCAGGCAACGTTCAATTTCACTTGGAATGCTAAGGGTTCTTCTTTCTTCTTCACGGTTTGATACGAGAAGGGATACTTCCAACAATTGTGGTACATCTCCATGAGCTTCATAAACACCACTACCTCTAAGGAATAGTCACGAATATGTCTGCTGACAAATAGGAAGTTCCAGCCAAAAGCCAAATTCCTAAACCTAGCAAATGATCAGAACCGCAGTAACTAAGTGGGCATACTAGAGTTATTCATGTAACTCCTCAGATAGTTTCTTGGAATTTAAAGTACTCCGGCAGCCTTCTATACGTCTTTCATCGCCAGATCCGAGTCAATGGGTATCACGTGATTGTTGTTCATTCTTCTCCTTCGGGATAGCAACTTGACCGGATGCTGTATATTCTAAATAGCAAGGCTATAGAGAACAAAATGCCCGATGCTCTTTAGCTGCCTAGTGTCTCCCTATTTCGTGCGAAATTTCGACTTAAATCATGCTTTCTATCTATCACTTGACCCTTAATGCGCATTCCCCCCTTCTTGAGATTGATCACAAACACAAACCAAGACAAACACACAACCTCAAGTTTCGCGCTGTATGTTTTGGAGAACTCAGCTCAATAGATCGATATGACACGCCACTTCACCAAATATCGGCTTTTCGAGCAGCATCACAAGCCCAAGCTGCGACAAGCGACATTTACCACATATGGAGGATGAGAGAGTGTGTGAAGGCTAGTTATGAGAGACTGTGCTGCCGCGCTTGACCCTCATTAGCTAAAGATCCAGTTTCTCGCTCACCGTGTCTGTCCCATTGATAGCCTATTTGAACGACACGGAATGCTGATATCTTGAGTTGAAAAAAAATGTCCACCTCCCCCGAACTTTACTAGACACCTGTACAGTGATTCCAATGCGTTAGCAGCTTCCTTACTCTACCATCATATCGTCTGAACTTTGTAGATACCTTCAAGACCTATCAACAATCCCATCTGCTTATCCCGCGTTGGAATTTCTGCTTTACACTCGTTCTGCTGCAGCACCGTCAAACTTTTATTACACCACAAGTCCAAAGAACAGGAGACAACTCATGGACTTGAAGCTACAAGTGTCAAAGCCACCCACTTTGAATTTTAGTTGCTATGATGGCAGTTTGGAGAATTATGGCGTTTGACAGCAGCGACAAAAGCCGCGTAAGGTAAGCTGCATAAAGTGACTGGATGAATGCAAGAAGGCTGCAATTCTCGAACTCGCAAGTTCAAGCCAATCTCATTCCAGACCCGTCGATACTATAGGCAACAGCATTAAAAATATTCAAGTGGACTCTACTCAAACTCCAAGCAGCGATTTGAACACCTGGGATAATAAGTCCTTGGTAACTTCTATGATAACTCACCAACACCTATCACTCCATCCCAATATCATACCTTGGCGATTGCAAGGGCTCTTACAACCCCGTTTATACACTACAAACAGCAGTCTAGATCTATATCTACACAGCAATGGCCTCTACCACCTCTACCTCTACCTCCACCTCACCACGCCCTTATCAGCCCACCCATACAAGACCACCTTCGCCTCCCACGTATCAACCTATCAAGCGGCCCTCGCAAGCCTCTTCGCCGAGCGCCCCGAATCCACCGAAGCCGAGCTCTCCAAACTGGGCCCAATCTTCACGCAGCACGACGACGACACAACGCGCGACTTCGCCGGCTTCGTAGCACATATGCGCTGGCCGCGCGGCATCCTGCCACCGGGCAGCACCACGCCTATATGCACACAGTTCCTGCGCGCCGGAAACCAGCTTGCGGAGTGGCATGGGGGGCCATGTGATTGTTGCTCATGGGACGGTGGAGGGGGGGGGGGGCGGAGAAGTTTCTATTTGCGGAGGTTGCGGGGGATGGGAGGTTGGCTTGGATGGTGGAGATGGTTGAAAGGATTGGGTGATGGATGGATGGATGGATGGATGGATATGGAGGACTATGGGTCGTTTGAAGGTGGAGTGGAGTGGTGGTGTGTAGATTGTTCAATCTCTACGTGCGTTGCAAACAGGTCAAGTGGCACCAAGCCAAATACTTCCCTACATATTTCCTACACTTCAAGCAGACTGCCTAAAAGTTTTGCGTCTTTCTGTGTCTCTCCGTCCTAGGTACAGTATAATACGCTATCTCCTCCCAGTTCGAGGAGAAGTTATGTCGAATCCATACTTGCCAAATATTGAGAAAGTGCAGCACTCACTTGTGTTTGTTTATGCACTGGTTGATGCCTAGTTCAAGCAACAATCCCAGAGACATGATATAATTTATATCCAATATATCGAGTGGGAAAAAAGAGTGCAGAGAGTTCCACATACTCTCTGTGGCTGAGATATCACCAAAACCGTACTCCAATACAGACTTCAATATAGTGGTGAAGACTGCATGCCAATGGAGAAAAGTTGAAGTCAGGTTGAGTTAAAGTAATCAAATGAGTAGATAGTAGACTCGCTTCAAGACATGCGTATAAGTGGAAAATAGACACATTGTATGTATATCCGTCTATATCCGTTACGGGCGTTTATTTTCACCGAGAGCAGAGTCCGACTGTAGGTTTGTTAGTTACTCAATTCCGCACTTTTCGTAGGTATATACCTACGTATGTATACAATGCTTCACCACCCCTCTCAATAACCATTATCTCCTTCTCACCAACACCAACAACAACATCAACACCACCATGGCCACCCCAACCCCACCCCCCCCTAAAAGTCCTCTTCTACATCCAGCCCTCCTTCGAAATCCTAGACTTCGCCGGGCCCCTCGAAATCCTCACGCACGCGCTCCACACCACCTCACACACCCCCGTCTTCACATGCACCATAGCAGCAGCCTCACCAACCGTGCTCTCGTCCCAGAACTGTAGCGTCAATAGAGACATCGCACTTGCGGAAGCGTATGCGCAGCTGGCGCATTACGACGTGCTGGTTATTCCGGGCGGGGGGGTGACGGATCCGGGGGGCGTGTTGGAGGTACAGGGGGAGCCGTTGGGGCTGGTGAAGAAGTTTGCGGAGTTAGGGAACGAGCAGAGGAAGGGGGGAGGTGGAGGGAGGGAGAGGACGCTGTTCAGTGTGTGTACGGGGAGTTTGGTGCTAGGGGAGGCGGGGGTGTTGGATGGGAAGAGCGCGACGACGCATTGTGAGTATTATGATGAGCTGGAAGAGGTGTGTGCTAGGTGGGGGAGAACGGAGGTGTTGAAGGAGAGGTTTGTGGTTAATAGTAGAAGTGGTGGTGATGGGGGTGGGAATGGATTGAGGATTATAACGGCGGGAGGGGTGAGTTGTGGCATGGATGCTAGCTTGTGGTTGATTCGGGAGGTTGCGGGGTTGGAGAGCGCCCAGAGGGTCGCGGAGATCGTGCAGTATGCTTGGAGGCAGGGCGTGGTGGTTTGAGTGTTGGCATGGGATGGCATGGGATGGGATGGCATGGGATGGCATGGGATGGTTGAAGATAAGATCGTGTAGAATTACCAATAAAACAACTCAACTCTGTTCCACTCAAAAGAAGACCTTTTTCTCTTTTCACTCGAGTGTACCGAAGTGACTGTTTTAGCATTTAACCAGGATAAGAAAGTATAAATCTCGAGTTTCGGCAATTAACGTTGCTTGCCAATTACTGATTCTCCATAATTACATGGAGAATCGCAGGTAGATAGAGCCCGCTTTTTGAGCATGAAGTGAAAGTGGTCTGAGCAAGAAACGAATACGATATGTCTCCAAGCCTCAGAGGCCACGAAACATTCGAGTGGAGCTTCCGGTGGAACATTTGACCTTTTCCGGCATGACCGACGGAAGTGTAGGAAAGCCCGAGAAATGTGCGAGGGGTTGTCAACCAAGAAACGAAACGCTTCACTTGCTGACATACACCGATAGAATGAACATAATGTAAGAAACATAGATGAGAGTGATTGGCTTGAGCGGTCAACGCATGTAACAATTTAGATTGAAGAATCGACCTACTGAATTATTGACGACATCAAGCACTTCTTTCTGCGCAATGGTCGTTGATTTGACTCTTGGAGAATGTGCATCCAAGGCTTACCCAATCTCATCAGTGAACAGGAACATCCTTCCAAGAAAATGGCGCATCCAACGATGCCATCACTCAAACCTTTTCACAAACCAGCCATGCGTATAGCTCACCTCCCCCTCCCCCTCTCCACCACTCCTCGCAACCCTCTCCCCAACCCGCTGAAACCCGGCTCCCTTATATGTCTTCTCTCCCTGCGCACTAGCAATCAAATACGCACCCTCTCCCCCCTCTTTCCTACGCTTCTGCAACTCATCAAGTCCCCATCTCACCAGCCTAGTCCCCAGGCCCCTGCGCTGGAAATTCTCATCCACGACCAACGCATCCAGGACCCAGAAGCGAGTCTCGAAGCCCTTGCCAAAGAATTTCTCATTCAGCTCTTCGTCTTCAAGCCGTAGCTTATAGTAGATTTCCTTGTCAATCCCTTCGCCTTGCTGTTCGGCTTCTTTCCTAATATCCTCGTGCCGCTCCTCCCGCGTCCTGGCGTCGGTAGCTTTCGCAGGAGGGTTCCAGACGATGTATGCAGCGATGAGATTTGGAGCGGAGGTAGGGACGAGTTTTGCGGCTAGGAGGCCGGGGTTGGAGAAGCGGGAGAGGAGGCCTGGGAGGTGGGTTTCGATGAAGATTGGTTCTGGGGTAGGTGTTGAGGTGCTGTTGTAGAGTGTCGGAGAGGTAGACTTGGTAATGCAATCGTAAGATCTCTGGCGCATCGGTGGGGAGGGATAAAGGGAGGAGCGTGAAATGTTCTGTTGCCATTGTTGTGAGGGGAGCGGATAGAATGAGTCGGATTTGGATGGGAATTGGGTTTGAATCAATATGAATCATGAAGAGCTTGCAAGACGTGGAATACTATGCTATCTTGCCGCAACTTGGCTATATGCTGAGATAAATGAAAGCTAGAACTGAGAATACAGGTTTGGAATAAAGGTGAAATACTACAAACTCTTCAAATAGAAGGGCTGAAGAGGTTCGTCGTAAACGATTTCAAAAGTGGGAGTGACTTACTCACTAACGATCGCAACCTCTATCTTGCTTGTACACACGAGCTCATCTTGAAGATCTAAGAGCAGGAATTGAGAAAGGAGAGACTGGTAAGTTATAGAATAAACCCCACTCGGGGTAGAAAAGTTCTCACTGTGAAGCACTTGCTTTTACACGAGTTGAAGCATCTAGCATAATTTACAGTTATGCCTTTTTGTTAACGATGAAAAGCCGTGAGGTTTGGTTGGTGTAATGGGGGTTGTCATAGCACTCAAATGATTACTAAGTGCTACACTGATTAGGAAGGTGATAAGCCGGCCGGGTCGTTTCATGCAATCTTCCCCACAGTACTGTAATGATTTGCAAGTCTCGACCCAGTCCCAGGACTAGGGACCAGGGAAGCATAAAGTTAATCCCAAAGTTACCTAATCCACGATTTTCTTCAAGGAGTCGGAACTCGCCTTGCCTTTGTTTCCCGTATTTCTCGGGCTCGGTCTCGTCTCTTCATGCTTGATTAAGGTAGTCGTCGAATGTTCTTGGCGAAGTCTAGAGTAACAACGGCTCGAGACCGGCAGCAGTGCAGGTGGAGTATAGTAGCATGGCACCGCCTCAATGAACGTTTATGCACAGAATCACAAATCAGGGTACAACATTCAGTATAGTGTAGGTAACGGCAATTGCATAGCATCACAAATTTGGGTACAACATTCAGCATAATGTAGGGTAGGTAACGGCAATGCACAACAGTAGTTTCTTCACCAGCAGCAGGGAAGCTTTAAACGTGGAAACAGAAGTAAATTAAACTCATGCACCGCACAGCTGATAATTCTTACACAGCCTCTTTCTCTTTCCCATGGACTTCGTACCTTAACTTTCTCACTTCAGCCTGCATGATGTGAAGCAGCAGACGATGTTTCAAAACAACCCAATGTTTCATGGCGGGATTTCCCCACAGCCAGCGATGGATGACATGGGAGGCTGCAAGGTACGCATTTCCTTTTTAAAATTAAGCACGGATCGAGTTACCGTCGAACCTCGATCGATCCCCTTTGCCGTAGCGTTTCATGTGGTGGCATTCGCCTAAAAGGGCATACTGGCTTATCTTGTGTGCCTATTATTGCTGGCTTTCTACTTCTAGCTGCCACGAGCACGAGCACGAGCACGAGAACGAGAAGGATTGCGCTGGCTCCCTACAGAGTACACATGCCATTTAATCTTCTATCAAGGTGGTCAGACGTTGCAAGCAAATATGCTGCACCCACCCAATTGATAATGATTAATGATTAACTGCTTTTGGCCTCCAAATATCCGGTGCTTCGTCCTCGTCTTCGTCTTCGCCTGCAACTTCTCTCCCGGATGATCTGCAGGACATATTACCCCTCCAGGCCAAGGAAACAGAGTAGCATCCATTATTAACATCGCGTAGTAATAATACCGGTATGTTAAGAAGTAGAGTTGGAGCAAAAGAAAAGAAATGCGGCCTATCTAGGAAGACTTCATTTGGAGATGCTGCCTGTTTGGGAATCATAAGATCGCACCGTCAACCGTGCGAGAGAAAGTTCTCTAAGCGAGCTTCTTTTCTCCTGAACGGTGGAAATTGTTTGGAGTCTTGGAGTGGTAATGGCATCGAGCCGCGAGCCGGATTGAACCTACCTGATCATCTGATTGATTATTCCCAGATTATTTATCGAGTTTTAGTCTCTGATTTTTTCTAAAGTTCTATGGAGTACGGTTCACTGGGAAATCCGGGTACAACGCAAAGTGGCCGAGGAAGGACTGAGTCACTAAGGAAGCTGTGGAAGCTGTGGAAACTTGAAAGTTGAAAGACCAAGCCCGAAGTTCCGATCCGAGTGGATCAGGTTAGCAAATGTGCCCACTACTCGCATATCCGTGTTCCCCTATTGATTTTTGGTGGGTGATATTGGTAGATGCTTAGGTTACAGCGCATTGATTCATTCATTCTATTTCATAGCCACAGGATTACTGGATTTTAGTTGAACGTACCGTACCGCACCTGCCTATGATTGCCATTTCCCCATCGAAATGACTGACTGTAGCCGCAGGATGGCAGTTGCGAGTTGGGTGTGCTTATAGGGCGCATGTTTTAGTACGACATAAGCGCATCCTCTCATGCAACAACATTTTGGTTCGAGGGTGTGGTGTGGTGTGGTGTGGAGATGGAGAAGATGGTTGGTCCCCAAAATAAACAGATGGTATTTTGAAACGTGCAGCCCACGAATAATTATGGAGTGCGGCAACCAGCTCGCAAGGATTGGAGCGTAATGTTCCTTGGCGCTCCATAGCCGCGACCGACGTCTATGGACTTCTAAAAAAGAAACATGGCCCGTTTTTGACTCGTTCTCGTTACTACCGCTACTCTACCCACCATATCCTTTCTGCATCGGGACAATACGAGGCGCCAGTGTTTCGAGGAATCGAGGTCCAATCCTCGTGTAAAGAGAACGACCGACAGACAGACAGCATACAGGACGGGGTGCCAGCGCAATATCCAGACCGAGGACTTTCCAGGTCCAGGTCCAGGTCTGGGTCCATCCATGCCTACCTACGAGTCTAAGCAGCCCTCAATCAGACGATTTATCTCTATCAGGCCTGCGCTCAGACTGAGACTTGCCTGTGTGCAGAACATTTGCCGCAACCTACGTTGGGCATCTCACAAGGGGCCCTCCTAAAGGAGCCGCTTCCCCGAACAATGATCGCTGAAGAAGAGTTTTAGCGCGCTCGATTTAGGACCTGATGGAACGACAGGACAGAAGCCTCTTGCCAAATCGGACACTTTGAGCAGGCATTGATGGTTATTCCCTGTACCTATTCCAACTATTCCCTGCGCTTCTTCTGGTACAGGGGACGGGCACCCAATGGATTATGCTTCTCACCCGCCCAAGGCCCCTCGCGGTTGTACCTGCATTAGTTGGCCATATCTCGTTTCAAGTAGCTCAACTTTGACCCCCGCAACACTCCCTCTCCCCTGACTAACCCGTACTCGTCTAGTCCTCCTCATCCATGCGCTTCCTCCTTTGCTGTATACGGCACACCCAGTTTAACTCAGATCGACCCGCATTTATCGCAGATTAATCTTCACTGCACTGTTCTGCTCAACGGCGACCAACGCGCGCGCAAAGGATGAACCCTGGCCCACATCCGTAATCATGGATACCGCTCCGCTGGCGGCAGGGCACAGGTGCTCTGACTGGTTCACATGGGACGAGGAGGCTATGGAATGGTCATAGCCTCTGCTAGTCATGGCCCCGGGCCAAAAGTATAATAATCCTGTGAATCCTCTGGTCCATCTCTTCATTTCCTCGCTATCCTCTTAAGGTGTCTTCTTTCCATACCTCTTAATTCAAATATTGTCCATTTGACAGTCAGAGTCATTCGCTTCTTTGACTTCATATCTCTTTATTCCTTCTCACGTTTGGCATACGAAACTGCTCATTCAGTCGCTATCTACAGTTGCATCTGTACCACAATTCTCACACCCACCTTCTTGATCAGAAGCCTTATACTACTTAAAATCTATTCATTATGAAGACTTTTACTATTGCTGCTTTGGCAGGAGCCGCCGCAGCTACAGGCGTTCGTACCATCACTCTTCATTTATGAATTCTGACTAACATACATCAGAGCGGATGGGGTTCAGGTAGTAGCAGTTACAGCTGCCCTGGTAACACCAACAATACATGTACTTCTGAGCAATCCTCAGGTTTCACCTGGGATTCATACACCAGCGGACAGGACATCGGATCCCACGGAGGTTTGACCTTCTCCGGCTACACATGTGGCAGCTGGGGCAACTCCAAGCGTGCTGGGTTGACCGGCCGTGGAGGTAGCGGATCGAAGTGTGCTGTAGGTATTGCTGGATCCAAAGGCAACTCAGCCAGCATCGGATGCGGTTCTGGAACATCTGGCTTCTCCGTCGATCACGTAGTAATCGCTCCTGAGATTGACTGCGATCTCGAATTCCAGTACGCCATGCCAGGTGGATCTACATGCAAGCACACCGAGTCTTGCATGTCGAAGGGTTCAACTATTACCAACAGCCAGTGCGGTGGTGCCACCGGATTGACCATCAACTACCCAACTCAAACCGCTGGATCTCCTGGTGCTGGCAAGGCCAGCTGTTCCATCTCGATTAGCAGCATTGGATTCCAGTGCGGATCTGCAACCAGCAGTGTTGTTGCAAGCTCGGCCACCAAGCCAGCTTACACTTCAACCGCTAGCAAGCCTGCAGTTACCACCCCCGCGGCGTCGAAGTCAACAGGTTCAGTTAGCAAGCCAGCGACAACCGAAACCCAGCCCGGTGTCTACACCTCAGTGACCAAGTCAGGACCATCCAGCGAGACCAAGCCTGCTGCAACCAGCTCGGTCAGCAAGCCAGTGACTACCGAAACCCAGCCCGGTGTCTACACCTCAGTGACCAAGTCAGGACCATCTAGCGAGAGCAAGCCTGCTACATCCAGCTCGGTCAGCAAGCCAGCCACCACTGAGACTCAGCCAGGTGTCTACACCTCTGTCACCAAGTCAGTAGGATCCAGTGAGACCAAGCCCGCTGGTACCACCTCAGTCTTGATCTCCGGCAACTCCACCACCGCTAGCACTGGTCCAGTATCATCCGCACCAGTCATCTTGACCACGTCGACAATTGTCACCACGCTCACCTCCACAACCATCTCCTGCGCAGAAACAGTCACCAACTGCCCTGCCCACTCGACTGTTCTTGTCACCATCACTAGTGTCGTTGGAACCACCGTCTGCCCAGTTACTGCCACAGAGACCGGAAAGGCAAGCTCATCCGCAGCTGGCAAACCATCTTCATCTGCGCCTGGCACAACTGCTTCCGGCACCGAGACCGTTGCTACTTCGTCTGCCGCCGGCAAGCCAACTTCATCTGCTCCCGGAACCGCGACCGAAGCTACTTCCTCCGCAGCTGGAAAGTCAACCTCATCTGCCCCAGGTAGCGAGACCGCTGCTGGCTCCTCGACTGTTCCCGCTTCATCCGCCGCTGGTGTCCCATCTGCCTCAGGTTCATCTCCTTCAGCTTCAACCGCCGTCGTAGCTACCTCGTCTGCAGCCGGTGTCCCAACTTCATCTGCTCCAGGCGCCGCAACTACCCCAGTCGCCACCAGCCCAGTTCAATTGACCACTTCTACTATCTCCACTACCATCACCTCCACCACTATTAGCTGTGCGTCAACCGTTACCAACTGCCCTGCTTCCTCGACTGTTCTCGTTACTGTTACCTATGCTGTAGGAACCACTGTCTGCCCAGTCAGTGGAACCGCCGTTGCTACTTCCCCAGCAGCATCTGTTTCCGGTGCTACCGTGGCCTCATCTGCTGGTGGTGCTGCAGGCTCATCCAAGCCAGCTGTCTCGGTTGTCGGATCTGCTACCGTTTCCTCGACTGCTCCAGCTGTCACCGCTCCTTGCCCAACTGTTCTCCCAGCATGCTTGAACACCTGGAACTTCATTGTTGGTTGCATTGACAACACCGATAGCTCTTGCTACTGCCCAAGCTCCGACTTTGTCAACAGCGTTTACGGATGTCTCTCCGCTTACGGTGCTGATGCCGCTGAGATCTCTACCGCCGCATCATTCTTCCAGGGTATCTGCGCCCCATACGTTCCCCAGAACCCTGCCATCGTCACTGGATGCCCAAGCTCCCCAAGCTCTTCGGCCTCAGCAGCTAGCGTTCCTTCAGTCTCTGCTTCCTCGGCAGCTGGTGTTCCTTCAGTCTCTGCTTCCTCAGGCGCCGTCCAGGCTACTACCGTTTCAGTTGCTGGTGCCACAGCTCCTGCTTCTTCCGTGGTTGCTACGCCTACCGCTGCAGCTTCCTCGGCCGCCTACCCAGTCACCACCATCTCAGTCTACACCACACTCGTGGTCCCTTGCACCCAGTCAACTGGTGTCAGCTCTGGTGTCGTCATCCCATCATCTTCGACTTCCTCAGTTCTCTCCACCGTAATCACGGTTCCCCAAGTCGCCTTCTCTACCCCAGCTGCCACTGCTTCAGGTGCCGCTGCTACCACTCCAGCACCAGCTCTCGTCGTTGGCACTGCACCAGCTGCAACTCCAGCCGGAGCTAGCAGTGCTGCCACTGCACCAGCCACTGTTGCTCCCGCTGCAGGTACCTCTGCCGCCGCTGGAGGAAAGGCCACAACCATTGCCACCATCCCAGTCGGAACCGGCAAGCCTGTCGCATCTGCTTCATCCGTACCATCCCAGGTCCCATTCACTGGAGCCGCGGCTTCAAACCGTGTTGCCTTTGGCAGCGCGTCTTTCGCCATGTTGTTTGCTATCCTCGCTTTGTAAGCGTGTGTTAATGCGAATAATTTCATTCTAATCTCCCGCGGGCATTAGCATGACAACATTGGGAAGGTTTATCATGCATTGGGAGGCGTTTCTACTTCGATACCATCCTTAGTATTTTCTATTTAACATTGGGAGGGGTTTCAAAAAAATTGGCCTGGGATGAGCCACGGATGGTCCATCGGCCACAAACGATGTCTGGATGAATAGAAGAACTGTATAGGAGCTTGACGGAGTCAAGTTTGTAATTAGGATGTTTGTGACGGCGACGACGTGCATTGAAGCACTGTAATATAGATGCGCATGAATTCATGCTTAAATGCATAGATATAGGAAATACAAAGTTCACAATAAGGTGTCTCACGATTTGTCTTCAAAGTGTTTTTTTTTTTTCGAACTGCTCCCAACCTTTTACTATAGCCTGGAACTTGAAGATGTTTCCTCGTGCTCCCATCTCCATCCAGCGTCTGTCTGTCTTTCCCCACAGTTGGAACCAGAAGTACTAGTAGCACGACAACAGTTAATCCCACCACGTTTCTTCCACAAAACCTGCATGCAGGCCGGTAATGAATGTACAACATCTATCTATCTTTAACGTTACTTGACACCTATCCTACCATATCCTGCCATGCTGTACAATTAATACCGGCACTGCATATCTACCGTACCTGCTTCTTACTCTACGTACGCGTATAGTAAGTACTGTACCGAGTAAGTCCTCTCTCATTTTAAACATGCATACAATATCCGTATAGTAAATTCCTTCATCCCATACGCACCTCGATGACAGGAGAAAGAAAAGAACTCGGGGTATCCAGGTCACATGGTACTGTATATAGCCTGCCTATCCTATCTAGGTAAAATCCATAAATCCCTCTCTCTAAACTAATAGTCGAACCGACCGACTAAACCGACCATTAGTCTCGATCCTTCGCGGCCGAGTATGCACGTATGCATGCATGCTTGTATTTCTATTCTCGTCTCTCATCTCTCGGTGCCTGTCTGCGCATGCCCACTAATTTTATTTCTCAATATTCCTTCGACGGATCGGAAAGGGCGTGGTTTTGCCACGGAACGGGATGGAATAGGATGATTGATGGGAATTGGAGGGTCGGGGAGCTGGACTTATGTGGGGTATAGAAGAGGAGAATTGTAGACTCCTCCCGTGCAATGCAGCTGGTTATTGTGTCGATGATTGCAATTCGGTCGAGGAAATGTATTCATGTGCTCTGCTCTGTAATAGATATTATCCTTTCTCGTGGCCCGTCGGCAAGCAAGCATTCTTACTACTTGAACTCGATCAAATTTCTCACCCATCGGTACGTTAAGAGGTCCCCGGAGTGGCAAAGAATAAAATCGCTCGATCTTGTAGCATTCATGACTGAGAATATGACTGGATAGTTAGATTGTTAGTTGAACCTGGTAGCGAAAATACGGAGGTGAAATGCGGGAAGAAATGGGAGTAGAGCGTTAAGTCGTTGCATCTTACCGGCAGGTCATACTGTAAGCTGCCAACAGAGCCTCAGCAAGAGAGGGTGGTCGTCTGAAACACTCCTCCAACCCCCTCTCCTAGCGCCATATATAATACAGGATTTCCGGTTTGTCACTTAATAGATGCGCCTTACGTCTGCTATCGAGCTAGTGACCAATGAAAAGGCATTTCCTTGATCGTAGGTATGGTACACATGCTTATTACGTTGTTTCTCACACTCTAGGATGACTTTGACGTTTTTCTCGGTCATGAATAGCATGCTATTAGTACTCAGTTGTATTCCTGGCGTGAAGTTTCTATGTATGTAACATTCGTTTCTTACAGCGACTTTTCTTTTATTTTATTTCGGAGGCAGTTGTGCATTTGTTATTGTATTTATCAACGTTTGATCTGGACCTTGCATCCATCTGCACTTTGAACAAGCATTAGTCGTTGCCTCTCCATTCCGACAGGCTCGATCTTCTCGCCTGCAGGTAACGAAATAGCCAAAGAAGCTTGTAAAAGTCTCACAACAGTATATAAAACCTCCATGAGGGCGAAGTCTTCTCCCAAACATTGCCTTGACCTACCACTGAATGGAAAATAAGCCCAATCAATATTTGAGAGTCCACCGTCTTCCCACCTCTCTGGACGAAAGTCGTCTGCATCCGCCCCAAAAATGTCTCTCTTTCGAGAATTGACTCACTGAGAAAAGACGACCAGCTCGCCCTTCCTTACCAGAATGGGACTAATTCCATCAGGCCCACCACCAGTGGGCAACATGGTGGTTTTCGTGACTGTACGGTTATTCAAGGGCACTGGAGGATAAAGTCGACGACCTAGATCGATTGAGCTTTGGTATTCGCTTAGGACAGGACGTCTACTGACTTTCCCTGACAACACAAGCAAGAAATGGCATTCGTCTGATCTGTTCTCGGCTTGGCTGGTCTGATCCGCCCATAATAGTGGCGACTTCGTTACGAAGGCGATTCATTACATGAGGGTGTCGGACAAGAAGGCGGCTGCATAGGTAAATCCATCTATTAGCTCGGTGTACACGGGTGATAGAAGATCAAGACTATGACTCACAAAGTCCAGGATGAGCAACATGCTGTAGTATCTCGCCCAGCTAATAACACATCAAGGAGTTGGCCGCGAAGTTCTTTGGTATTCTCCGATTCCTCTGCAACCTGATGGATAAAATTATACGAGTCTTCTCCAAAAGCTTCGGTTTCGCCCTTCAGTTCTTGAATATATTGCTCTACGAAATGATGAACATTGGAACAAGCTTGTCGAAATTTCTTAGGGCTGTACAAGAAATTCCATGGGGTGAGATAGACATTCGTACCCCAATCGAAGATTCGAAGCAACATATTCTCGAATTGATGTAAAAGCCAACTAAATTTTCAATCCAAGGCATCTTTACCAAAGATGTCGTGGAGGACTTCATCCGAGACGTAAACTCCTCCCTGCAAATTTAGTCAACTTTGTAATTGACAATACGTAACGAAGAAATAGTAAAGTCTTCAACAGCCCTTGAGAGCGCGTTTGGTACTCACCGAGTACATACTTGTCAACTCAAACAACTTGAATATCTTCTCATCAACACAAAACTCATACACCCCTTTTCAAACGCGCCATAGTCGTCTACAAGTGCCTCGTCTGTTTACTCCCTTTGATCAGACCCTCCAACTCCTCCGTAACCCACCCCCCATAGAAGTCTCCCGGTTGGGGCTGCACTTCTTCGCCATCCACAAAACACTGCCATGGACCTGCATAAAAGCTCAAATACCCCTTGATGGCCTGGTATCCTTCCGCTGGCTGATCATAGCTCCAGATTCTGTCTTCTACCGTTTCTGATGATTGAGGTATGGAGAGCGAGTAATATGTCGCCCAGCCTTTCCATTCGCAGTATGTTGACTTGCGTGTTTTGGTTAGGGGAATGGAAAGGGATGAGGGTGGCAGGTAGTATGCTTGTGTTTGTATTAGTGAGTAAACTTAATTGTAGAGGAAAGAACTAATTACTTGGTGCGTGGTATGTTTCCAAAACCCAATACGCTTCTGTGGTATCTGCTATTACTTGCCCCTTGTATTTCACTTGGAGATGCCGCGGGGTACGCTCGAGCAGGGGTGGGCGGGGAAAGGATTGGACATTTAGGGGTGTTTTGATTGTCATTTTGCGAATTGTTTTATACATGTGTAGAGTAGGATTGAGACATGTACTGAAGAAACAAAGAGAGTTGTAGTATATAAAGTCAAATATAATGTGGTTGTGAATGTGAATGTAAATGTAAATGTAAATGAAGGAAGTTATACAATCATGGCGGGGTATGTATATATCTGCGCTAGTGGCACCTGAAATCGCCGTACCCCGCCAACGTCACAAGCCGGTTCTCACGATCTATAAACCTCGAACCTCAAGACACAGAAGGCTGCCACTTCCTCGAACACCCATACGTTGCTACACACATCCACAAACTCCCCATACATCTGCTATCATGTCAGGACTCGAGAAAGCACTCTTCAACCTGAAGGTAAGTACGCACGGCGCTTATCAGGGATTCAGACTAACAACGAACAGTTCACGACGAAGCAACTAAACCGCCAGGCTGCGAAAGCTGGCAAGGACGAGAAGACAGAGAAGGACAAGGTTAAGAAGGTATGCCATTCTGCTATCCATATTTCCCATTTCATTCTTCAGTGCTAACAACGGTAAAAAGGCAATCCAACAGGGCCATAACGACATCGCCAAGATCTATGCGCAGAACGCAATCCGCAAGCAGAACGAACGCTTAAACTTATTGAGACTTGGTAGTAGGATTGATGCGGTGGCTAGTAGAGTGCAGACGGCTGTTACGATGCGTCAGGTTACGGGAAGCATGATGAATGTTGTCAAGGGGATGGATCAGGCGATGAAAGCTATGGATTTGGAAAAGGTATATACCTCTCATTCCCTGCCCCTCATGTCTTTAAACTAACAACGCCCCGAACAGATCTCCGCAGTAATGGACCGCTTTGAAACACAATTCGAAGACCTAGACGTCGCAACCGGCTACTACGAAAGTGCCACCACCTCCGCAACAGCTGTCGGCACGCCGCAAGAAGACGTCGATAGGCTGATGAACCAGGTTGCGGATGAGGCGGGCGTTGAGATTTCTCAGGAGATGGAGGGTGCGAAGCCTGTGGCTGCGGCGCCGGTGAAGAGTGGGCCGACGGAGGTCGAGGAAGATGGGTTGGGTGAGAGGTTGAGGGCGCTGAGGTCGTAGGTAGGGAGCGGGTCTATTTACTCCGGTACTGGCGTTAGGACTTGCGCGTATGCTTTGTTCAGACACTTGCGGATAGTATTGGCGTATTGGACTTCTTTTCTAGAGAAGGGTGTTTGATTTGATATGAGTGGGTTGTCCTGTGAGCTATGATTTATCGATGCATCCATCTGAAACAGAAGTCGTGATGTATAGTGAACTTGATTCATCGGCTAGAATGGGGGAGTCTGAGCGCCCAACCACAGTATCGACCTCAAAATGTGCAACGATGAGAATATCAGGATGCGTGCACGAGCAACCCTAGGACGAAACTGACCTCACAACTACTTAAGAAATTGACAGGTTATAGCTAAAACTATCTATCTTTTCAATGTTAACATGGTCTACTCGTAAAGCTTCAGCCAAGAAGGACTAGGCATGCTCACGCCCAATGGACATTCGTATATATATTCAAACAAAGATTTTCCTGCCACATACGACCGTAGACTAAGGAGAATTAGGCTATCTTGACGTTCTACTCTAGCATAAGCCTTAGCTCGGAGCTGTTCTTAGGATTATATACACCGGATTTGGAATAAGGTTACTACTAGCCTTAGGTATATTTTATGTATTTCGATCGTTATTCAACTCTTGGTTAATAGTATTCTCGGATAAGGAAATAGCATTTGCTAGAATATCACTTAATCTAGAAAGCGAAATACAGTTCTACTTCTAGCAGGAAGTAAAAAAGGGAATTAAGGATATCATTGAGGCTTAGAAAACAAAACTGGCGGAAACCGGTAATTAGGTACGGGCGCGCGCCCCTAAAGCCTATTATGGTACTCTGACCAAGTTCTGCGGTTTTTGTGTCTGTTGGATTTAGCTGCTGACATCGAATACCCGAAGACCAGTTTTGTGGTCAGTTATGCTGTTATATCCTCTTCTCTATACACATTATAATATATGACTTGACCTCTCTATGCCAGCTTTAAGACCTATTCCATCGTATACTCTTAGTGTATTATTCCAACAATTTCTATAGTGCTATTGCCACCCGTCATTCTACATGATATAGCAAGTTGGGAAAGTCGCTATATATCACTCGATCACGAGCTCCGACTTAGAGTAAGTAGCTGCACGATGGCCTCAGATCCGTACTGAGCTGCCAATGACAACGCCGTCTCACCCCGTTTATCCTTTGCGTTTACATTTGCTCTCTTTTCAAGCAATAATCGTGTAACAGCCTCGGACCCGTGGTGAGCCGCCCAAAGCAACCACGTCCATCCATCAACATCTTTTGCTTCGATATTTGCTCCCTTATTGAGTGGTAACCGGACAATGGCTTCAGAACCATAGCGAGCTGCAAAATGTAACGCTGACATTCCAGAATTTTCTTGTACGTTGAGATTTGCTCCTCTTTGGAGTAGCAGGCGCACTATGGCCTCGTACCCATTTAAAGCTGCAAAAAGTAATGCTGTCATTCTATCGTTATCTTTTGCCTCAATATTTGCTCCATTCTCAAGTAACAGCCGAACGGCGGCCTCGGACCGGCTTTGACTTGTCCAGAGCAATGCTGTCATTCCAAAATTATCTGTCGCTTTGGTATTTGCCCCCTTATCAAGCAGGAACCGTATAACAGCCTCGGACCCGTGCTCAGCTGCGTGGAGTAAAATTGTCGCTCCTTCGTCATCTTTTGCTGTAATATCCGCTCCTCTTCTAAGCAGCAACCGCACAATAGCCTCGAACCCGTGCCTGGCTGCCCAGAACAACGCTGTGACTTTATAATATCCTTCGCCTCGATATCCGCTCCTTTGTCGAGCAACAATTGTACGATAGCCTCAAACCCACCTCCGGCTGCCCAAAGCAATGCCGTTTCTCCATCAATGTTCTTTGCCTCGGTGTCGGCCCTATTCTCAAGTAACAGCCTCACGACCTCCTCGTTACCCATCGCGCAGGCCGCAAGCAGTGCGGTACCATCGTAGCCGCCGTTCCCCGCATTGACATCGGCGCCTTCCTCAAGTAGTATCTGGACTACTGCCTTATGTCCATTTCCAGCAGCAGCTTGAAGGGCATTACCAGACGGTCTAGTGCTTTCGTTGGTTTCTGCGACTCCTCGTATTAACAGTTGCTGGATTTCTTTGTGTCCATTTCCAGCTGCACGCACAAGAGCCGTTGCTTCCTCTTGGCATTTTGGATCTATGGCAGCTCCTGCATCGAGGAGTGTTTGGACCAATTCTAGATGGCCCCATTGAGCAGCAAAATCCAAAGGTCTGTTTCCAGCATCGTCTTGTGTATGAATACTCTCAGGATCACTTAACAAAATTTTAACAACACTTCGAAGATTTGAGCTACATGCAATATGCAGTAATGTTGAACCTGGATTTGGGCACTCTGCGTTGTATACGTCAATTGCCTGAAATATCTTTACCCAGGCCTTGAAGGTTAGTCCTGGAGGGGATCTAAACTGCTGTACAAGATCCTCTTGCACAATCCCGAGGCTTTCGGCTTGTTCTGCGTGCTTGAACCAAGATCTTGTTGCATAGTGTATAAATGGAAGCGCCTTCAAAAAGATTTCGTCTCGCTCATGAAGATTGGTGGGAAGTGCTGTTTGGCTAGCTTGTAGAACATCTTTTCGCTGAAGATAGTTGACACACGACTTACAAAGTCGCTGCTGGCTTTTCCCTAGAATGAATTTTGTCGATACTACCGTCGACTCTCCTTCATCTTGGGAGAGACTAGTATTGGAAGAAGCCGCCAAGTATTTTGACCCGTCTGGTTGTAAATAATCAAGGACAGAATGATGCATGACTTGTACAATGGTCTTGTTCTTGTGATATTTAAATTCCACTAGGCCACCAGACCAGCTAGTAATTCGAGCCTTCATATGGACATCGGTATAATTGTGCTCAAAATTCTCGGATTGAAAGACATCGTCCGAGGAGAACGCATACCGTAGTTCTGTTACTGATAACGGTTCTTTAGCTAGGCAAACCCACTGCATTAGAAGGTACGTTTTGGCCGATATTCAGAGCGAATGACCGTTTTGATTATGTTTTCGTAAACTTCGCTCAGGTCCTCTGGTACTTTCCAGAGTTTCTAATTAATGAATGAGAACGGGCAACCTTCTTGGATGTATCCAGTGATTCGTGAAATAATAAGAACTGTCCACATAAACACCCCTGAAGCTCTCCTTAAAATGGTCTGCGCGAGCCTTTTCCTTTCATAGACAGAGAGTGTTACAGTTCCCGGTCCTGATAGTCTACTAAGCCGATCTTCGACGTACTTCAGAATGTCTTGATGATTTTCATCATCAACACAGACTTGCAGACTGGTGTTGAGTGATAATCTAGGGTATTTTCGACACGAAATGCAGATTTTCGCGGTTTCGTTCTCCGGTATAAGGTAGTTTTCGTATAAATCGTGAAAGTAAATAAGAAGATCGCTCGCAGTCTTGGAGCCAGCCTCATCTAGAGCGTCCACAAATATGGTTATCGACCTCGATTTGGAAGCTCCAACGATAGTAGCAGAGAAGAGGTCTTGTAACTCTTTAGATTGCCACTGCCAATCTGTTCCAGTCGCGCCAAATTTTCTTTTCTCCTTGAAGGCAGCATAGACTTGCGATCGAACGGCAGGAACTTTATCGTATAGTTGATGTAACATGGACCTAAACATGCCGATTGGTGTCTTCTGTAATAGAGTGCCTCGGGCATGGAAGAAGAAGTCGAGAAGTAAGTAATTACTACTCGGCTTGGAATACTCCTGGAATGACTTATAGATGAAAGCCATCAGGGTTAATTTCCCCGAGCCTGGCTTTCCATTTATCCAAAGCATCCCTCGTTCTTTGTCTCTCCATGTCATATAAGTTTCATGCCGTAATATCCAGCTGCAGGTATGTGGGAGAGCTCTATCTGCGTCCTGTCGTCGGTAGGTGATCTCTGGAAATCCTAGTGATTGGAGGCATTCTTATTCAAGTTAGCACTAAGATCATTAAGTTCGGGCGCAGGGCTGATTGAAATCCTACCAAAATCCTGATCTGTCTTTGCACTATCGTTCACTAAGTAGAATAAACAGTTAGGTATTGGCCGATGATTTACCGTGCTATAAAGATCTATAACAAGATTTAATTAGATCATATCTACTGACTTTCCTTAATCTCATCAACCCAATCTTGGAGGACGCGTAGAATGGCCTTGTAGCCCCAACTATGTGCTCCGTCGAATTTACAAATGCTGCTATGGTCACAGCCGTACATAGGTAGAATTGTCTCGTCAGGTACAAACATAATAGCGCTACTTCTCTCGACGATCTATCCGGTCTTTCTTAGAATTATCCGCGAACGATTGAACAGGAGTAAGAACATACCAATGATTTTGCCGGAGGGGTTAGATTTTGTTCAATTGCAGAGGCGATCTTGATGGTGCGCATCTGATTCCTGAAATCTGTAGAGATTTCTAAAAGAATTTGTGAATCCTTCTCGAGGGCCTTGATGAGGTCTGATCTCGAATGTCCGAATAATCGCGCCGCTCCACTTTTTTCATGGCCAAATTAGCCATACTGGCCAATATCCCAGGATATTGTGTTTCGGAGGATCCCCGGTGCGGTGTAGCAAGGAACATGATGCTGTTTACGGACATCAAAATGTTTTCGAAGCGGCGATCTTCAATTTTAGCAATAACAAGGGCCTAATTCAATATAAGCTTAAATAAACAAGGTTGAGAGTATGAATTTGATCTAACCTTTTTTAACGACAATCCCTCCCATACTATGACAGATGAATATGATTGGACGCTTCTCATACTAAAAATATTAGGAGATACTTTCTGCTAAGAGTTGGGTTAGAAAATACCTCCTTTCCCCGTCGCTCGCCTCGTAATCCCTCGAGCAAGCCCCTAGAAAAGTCCTCAAGGCCACCCGTCCCGAGGGTGAAGAAGACTTGGGGAGGGTACCCATATGAAAAGACTCGTACCCCTGGTAAGTCTTTTGGTACAAGATCTCGGAGCCACATGGTTCCATTATCGTGTGTCCATGCACCGTAGGCATCTCCTGCAATGCCGTGGACAGCAACAATATCTACAGCGCTTGTCGCTGCATGTTCATTATTACCTGTGGTTTTGAGCACTGGCTTGAGCCGAAACAATCCGTACTTCTCGTTAAGGTCATATGTGTCTTTTGTGCCAGTTGTGGGGGAGGGTGGAGGGAAGTGTGCCATTTGGTGCGTCGTGTTGCAACTACTATCTTAGCTAGATAACTAATATAAATGCAACTACTAAGACTATAACCTACTAACTTATAATTATAGTAAAGTGATTATCTTATAATACTAATACTAATTAGTACTTAATCTAGTATCAACTCGTATTCTATTATAAATTCGCGCTTCTATTGCCTTATATCAAAGTATATAAGAGATAGATGTGAAGCTTTTTCACATTAGACTACCATCTTGCGCTAATTAGATGCCTATTACTCAAAGAGTGCAATATCTACGGTATGTATTTAGGGTTTTGCTTCTTCTATTCTGTATCTTTTTGCTTGTACTCTCGCAGAAGTCTTGAAATAATGACATGATCATTTGCTGCCGCCAATTTCGCTGCCCTCTGACACCGTGCATTAAGCCCGTCCATATCAGTATCGTTTTTCAAAAGCAATGACACTACGTCGAGACGGCCGTGCTCTGCTGCTGCTTCCAGGGCAGTTCTCCCTCCTGTTATTGATGGAGCCGCGTTTATTTCAGCTCCAGCCCGGAGGAGTAGCAACACGATAGAAATCCTACCCTCTAGCGCGGCAAATTGGAGTGCAGTAGCGCCATGGAATTCTGCGGCCAGCTCATTGCAGTTTGCGCCATGTTGTAATAGTAAGTTGACGATAGGGGGGTTACCACGCTGGGCCGCTGCTTGAAGAGCGGTTCTCCCGTACTTTGGACTTGCAGGCGCGTTTATATCAGCGCCAGCGCCTAGCAATAGTCGTATAGTGTCGATATTGAGTCCAGCACATGCCCGCTGGAGAGGGGAAGGGTAATCAGGCCACTGCCCGTTCACATTTGCTCCGGCATCCAATAGACGTTTGGTCAAGGAGTAATCATGTGCCGCAGCATAAAGTGGTAGGCCATAGGCGCTACTTCCTCTATTAATGTCTGCGCCAGCCTCAATCAAATCTTCGACGATGATAAGATTTACCGAAAACCGGGACATTGCTACACCAAGGGCTGTGGTTGCAGGACGCTTAACACTTAGTGCAGGATTGACACTTGCGCCATTTTTAAGTAGAAGGCGAACCATGTCCACTCGATTTTTTTGAATTGCAAGTTCCAAAGGTGTTAAAGAATATTTGATGGTCGAAGCATTAACATCCACCTGAGCTTCGAGCAAAATCCGAATAACTTCGATGTTGCCACCTCCCACAGCTGCTTGCAATGCGAATTGACGCTTTCGTGTTTGTCCAAGAGCATTAGCATCGGCACCTGCATCAATAAGAGACCTGACAAGGTCGAAATTCCCACGTTTCGCTGCCTTGACAATTGGTGAATGCCGACTTGTTGCCCCGTTGGGATCCCCAGTGACCAGGAGCCGGCGACTTAGTTCTAGATCATTGTTACGTACAGCTCCATAAAGAGCTGACATGCCCTTTAATTTACTGGGTGCAGCGTTGATGTCTGCACCAGCATTAAGAAGAACATCGACTCCGGCGCTGTTGTGCCCTTGTACAGCTGCTTGAAGCGCAGTCCTTCCCATTTCACTGGCAGCTGGCGCGTTCACCTCGGCACGAAATCTTAAGAGAAGGCGGATCATCTCAGTATCGCTGTTCTCAGCGGCTGTTTGGAGGCAAGTTCTTCCGCCTCTTGGGCTAGCTTTGGCGTTTACGTCGGCACCAAGATCTCTCAGTATTCGAAGAGTTTCAGCATGTCCTCCCTGAGCTGCGGCTTGAATGGCCGTCCTTCCATTTTCATACGCTGGAAGCGCATTCACATCCGCACCCTCATCTAGCAAAATCTGTACCAGATCGTTGTTTCCAGTAGATGCAGCAGACTGGAGGGCAGTTCTCCCGCCCTTTTTTCGCGCGGCAGCGTTAACGTAGGCGCCATTCCGTAGGAGGAGCCGCACCAACGCAACATCATCGTTCCGTGCAGCTATTTGCAAAGGCGTATCTCCAAATTTCTGTGCATTTGCATCTGCCCCTGATAATAGTAGTAGACGAACAAGAATTCCATTCTCGTTCGATACAGCGAGTTGAAGCGGTGTCTGGAGAGACTTGTAGAAGAAATCGTCCTCTTCATCATCATCACCATAAGGATGAGCGTCACCTTCAACCAGGGCATACCCATCCACGTTCGCATCTGCGTCCAGTAGCATCTGAACCATTTCAATGTTATTGTTGTATGCTGCAAATTGAATCGAGGATACTAGGTGCTTGCCGCGTTCCTTCGCGGCTGCTAAACGGGCTGTTTGGTACTGATTTCCGAATGGAGCATCGACATCAGCTCCGGCATCGAGAAGAAGCTGAACATGCTCTACATTATTTGCATAGGCAGCTTCTTGTAGAGCAGTAACAGATGATTGCGTCATCATATTCACCTCTGCCTTCGCTTCCAAAAGTATTTTAACCAAAGCCGCATCTTGGCTCGAGGCCGCAGAAGCAAGTAATGTCTTTCGGGACCAGAGTCCGCCAGGCATAACATTCGGGTCCCCTCCTGCGTCGAGTAACATCTTCACGATTTCATGGTTCTTTGAAGATACTGCCACTTGTAGTGGGGATCTTGTCAGGCTAGACGTAATACTTGCGTTTGGGTTCGCCCCTGCATTTAACAAAAGTCGAACGAGATGCACACTCTCGCGCACCGTTGCCTCATATAGCGCAGACACTTTCGGCTCATCGCCTGCTGCTGTGTTGACATCTATCCCTTGAGCGATAACAGCAAGCACCATATCAATATTCTGCAATCTCGTTGCACTGAGAAGGAGGTGCGACAGAAAGATCTCCACTGTTGGTGATTTTATCCTAATCAAGCGTTCAATGAGGAATGATTGATCGGTTTCAATCATCCACCTTAGTAGTTTATCAATTTGTGAACAGCGTAAAAGATTGTTGGACGATAGGAAAATGGCATAGGGTAGAAGTTGTAGTGACGCATCGACCATCGATGACAAGTCGAATATTTTCTTAACATTGTGTACGACCTCTCCATATTGTCTCTCGGGTAGAATCCCATCCAATCGCGAGGTAATCCCTAGAGTGTTATTCTCATCAAGTGAAGTATAAGGATCACCTAAGATGTTTGCGAATATGGATCGCGCTTCTTCGTCAGAGGTATGAGGAGTAAGTGAACTTTGAAATTCATCCGTTGCTTCGATGGACGTGCTCAAATATGGATCGGAATTCCCCGACAAAAAGTCGAACACGACATCTGTCTGGGGTGTTGCTTCGACGCCATGGAGGCTCCATTGTTGCTCGGGGAGTTGCATTTGAGGCACGGGCGAGTTTATGCTATAGTTGTCAAGAAATCCAGGAAAGTTTCGATCGTTCCATGCGGAGAGCGCAGGATATTGCCGACTAGGTTGTCTCTGCGTAAACTCGATTGCTGGCGGAATATTAGAGGAGAATCATTAGAGCCATAGAATGAGTACAGACCTTGTGATTGAAATAATATCTCGAACTCAAACCATGGAATATGAAGGTAATCTACAATTTGAGGCCTGCCCGCCCCTCCTGCTGGCGTGCAAACTTCGACCCCAGGAAGTGGTTCCGGACTCGGGGCTTTGAAATATTCAGTTGTGGATTTGTCAGAAGCTGGTTTGCTACCACTTACCTGTATGGAGTGTAGTATAAGAAGAAGAAAGCGAACAATATCTGGATATTTCTCTCCGGATCTTTTTCTTTGGGATTAATTTCCCATCAATATATGTCGCGCTCTCCTTGCCTTCATGCTTCCGCTTCTCCAATTTTCGAGCTACGAATTTCCATTTGTCACCCGTGGAGTTTTTTGAAAGCTTCCATTGCTTGAATTTCCGGGTGTATTGAGATTTCCTTCATACCATGTCAGCTTGATTGTGAGTTTATTTTGGAAGTTGGGTGACTAGCTTTGCAATAAAGCCGTGATCTTGCTCCATGACTGCCATGACTGTACTCAGAGGTTGGTTCTGATACAACCTGCTAATATCCTTTTTATGCACCTCCCACTCAGCGTCCGATATCGATCGAGCGACAGACATTTTTATTGATTTTTCAATAAACTTCGCCGAATAGAACAGTATGCTGGCTCCCAAAAAGTCGGGATGAAGTGGCGCGACAGATTTTAGTATCAATTCGTATTTGGATATAAGGTTAAAGGGCACTTTAAGGTGATTGGCTCAACCCAAAGTTTGTCGCCAAGGCGTGGCTGTGTGTTGGACTTCTCACATGCTGGGATACTTATTGGCAAGCCGGCAAGGCTTTCTCCACATGATCGCGTCCGGAAATTACTTAGAGCTGAGCCGACCCTTGCAACTCGCCCGGCTTGTACTGTAGGTATGCTCGGACCCTACGTTTATCACGCATCATGATTGGAGATTTCCACAATGTCTCGGGATGCTACCCAAGCATCGTACATGTAAATATCGGACATGATTTAGGACCTTAGGACCAGCTTAATTGGTGGTTTCCAAAGTTCTACAACCAAGTACGGTGCGAAGCTTTGACGTTGTGCCCAGCTGCGGTGCGTTTCTATACTAGTTATTTTTCTTCAGTTCCAGAATTCGCGACAACATAGTTGAATGGATCTTACTATATAATAAACATGAGAACCTTAAGACGTGATTTATTCTCATCTGAGCCCGGTTGACAGAGTGGCAGTCACTCTCATAGATCATGTTTTCCACCGAGTCACTCATCGCCATCATCGCAATCATAGCCAATCTTCCACCGACCGTTCTTGTTATATGGAAACTATTTCGCAGGGCGAGAACAAGCGACAGGGGTGTCTCAAGTAAGCGATCAACCTGTGTAGTGTAGTGGGCATAGTCCACGATCATCCACTAACGGCTATGTTACGCAGACGCAGAAATCGGGACATCAGAGGCTTCAGTCGCCAGCACTGCTGGCTGTCCTAGCACGACTTCCTACATCATAGTGCTATAGCCATCGTCATAACGGATCTTTGGTTCGCATTGAGGATATGAATTCTCTGCGTGGTCTGACCGCCATATCAAATGTGCCTGCCGCAACCAGTGCATTAATTTTCGAGAAAGCAGATGAGAAGTTAACCTGAACGGCTAGGCGAACCTGGGAAATTTTAGGTTTCGGTGCATATCTGGAGTAATTTGATGCAGGCCAATACGCTGCAAGTAGTCTACACAGAAGTCAGGACGTGGTATATAAGCCGTGCAAAAAGCACTTATTAGCTTGACAAGTCGGATCTTTAAATACCCATTTCTTTCCCTCGATCCTATAAAGAGTGTATCTTCATCGCGCAAATATTCTCCAGCACCGGCTTGTCGGAAGCACACGATGGCTATAGGATCTAGTTGTCGCATTAGTGCAGAACTTCTTGCTGTAACTCCAAAACTGAGGGGCACGTCGTTCATGTTGCAAATAACAACTTCTTGATGTTCAGGGGAATTCTCTGACCAACGACCAACATGTGCCGTGACAATATGTTATAGTGTAGTGGAGGCATGACGCCGTTTGGGCGAACCTGTATCTTGTATCTCGAACGTCCTCCTATCCCACTACTATCCTGTATTAAACGTTCTCATTGTAAGAAAGAAGGTAATCGAGAAGAAAAGGCCATAGTAGCTTCGTCCGAGGGGCGGGGGCGCGTTGATACAGTACGGGGAATTTCTTCGCACGCGAACCGTCTCATTTGATATGACTGAATCTTAGCTTTGTAGGTAGATTTCCAGTCTGTCTGCATCGCGTGGAGATGTTGAGACGTCGCAAACCGAGATTGAGTGGGGTGACCTACGAGATGACTAACAGTCACAGACGACTGAATTAGCATGCAAGTGCCACATACGACCGTAGACTAAGGAGAATTAGGCATCCCGTCCGCTTTACTAGATATAAACCTTAGATCGGCAGATTAGTAGTTAGGTAGGTGACCACTAGCGAATACCTGCTGTTGTATATCTCAACTTTTTGCGATTTTTTGTTTCGCTATCATTCTGCTTAAAGATGCGTACTTTTTAATTCTTCCTCTTATGCTTGTGCATAGCTAATATTTACCATTGAGAAAGCCTAGAATCTAATATATAAATAAGCAAGAGTTATGATTACATTACTTGTAACTTCTTCCCGCTACAGCTAGCTGTAAAATTCGGTGAATTCATCACATATTTACCTCAGGGCGCGAGCGTTTCATTGCAGTTAAAACATAAAATCTATTGCTTGAGTGGAAGAAAGTTGAAAGTCGCATTTGAAACTATACAAGGCGTGATCACTGATCTGACGAAAGTGGACTGGCAAGGAATTGATGCACGAGCCTGCCTATAGAAAGAGAAATAATCGCCACTTGGGATACGAGTGAGTTTAGGGAGGCAAGATTGTGTAGCGTGCAAGAATACCTGCCTATATAGGTATGTAGTTTGTGGTTTTGGTTCCACAATGCTGTGCATGAAATTTGATTCATGGATAGCATGGGAAGGCTTATTGAAATGACATGAGTTTGGTAGCTCGCTTGAGCCAGGGAAGGACAAAGGAAGGGAAAGACGAGTACATTTCTCAGAGGGGGTCTTGATGAAGAGAAGAGGCAGATGTGACTGTCCCAAAATGTTCGGAATATCAACACTGCCATCAAAGCTCTTGTCTTTTCATTCCAGCTAAAGAGTGAGTGCCATTAGGATCTATCATTTCCTAGTCCAGAAGTCCAATTTGCCATCCATTCCATCCCAACAACGCCAGTCCCACCACGAGACATTTTCCAATCCGTCATCATTCATCAATTTACTCGACGCGTCAAGCCATCTCACAATAATTAGCAGGAAAGGCGCCCTTCCTACCCCTTAGTTCGCCATCCCACCAATCATCCGTACTGTCCGTTTTCTTGATGATCTTTATTTGGTCACCTTCTCTAAAACTTAAATCTCCTTGGTTTTGGCCTTCAAATGCATACAGTGCAGTTACAAAGAGACCGGAATTTTGTGATCCAATTCGCTTTGGTGGTGGCGGGGGCGGTTTCTTCTTTGCTGCAGCTGATCGTTGGAAGTAGTCCCCACTCGGACGGCCGGTGAGTGGGCGGAATATGATGACACCGGTGTGAGATGCGTAGAGTAGTCTGGATAACTGGGTGTTGGCAGAGCCGGCTCTGGAGAAGGAGACGGCTCAGGGGCTGGCGGGGCGGAGACGAGCATTGAATTCGAAGATGGAATTCGTGCCATTCGCATTTGTGGATTGGGGGATGGCGTCCGTGCCATTCGCATTTGTGGATTGGGTGATGGCATCCGCCCCATTCGCGGTTCCGGATTGGGTAATGGAGGTTCAGATAACTTGCTTTGGGATGTGGCTCGTCTGTTTGAAATGCCGTTCCGAAGGCCAAGTCCAGTTATGGAACCGTGTTTCGCAGGATCATTTCCCAGAGCCATGGGTTGGTGAACTGTCCTTCCTCGAGCAAGACAGTTGATTCTCTCTATTTGTTCTTGAATAGGTTTGAAATCTGCGTTCCATACTGATATGACATCGTTCATCGGGGGTGAAGGGGATTGGAATCCATTCTCTTCGGCATAGTTGTGGAGGGCCGTATAATATTGAGCTAATAGTGTATTTTGGATCATGATCTGTACGGCCAGAAGATGGGGAATAATTGAAAATGCTGCAGCTATAATAGGAGGGAGTGTTTGTCTTAGACCCTCGTCTGCGACTTTGAAAGCCTGAGGGAACAGTTAGCAAGTGTACCTGGGAATGAGAGTTTTGGCAACCATACGTCTGAAGCCCTTGACAGCTCCTCTTCTGCTTTCGCCAATGCCACATTTTCGCGATCGCTGCGTATTACCTTTTTAGTCTGCAGACTGTTGACTTTATCTATATACCGCTCCCAATCGATTCGTTTATTTTCTCTCTTCTTGATCGTCTTTCGTAGAGGTTGGAGGAATTCTCTCGCATCACCCGCAGGTCGAATAATTCTCGAATCCATCAGGACCACCTCCTCAAGAAGATCCGTCTTCAAATCCGCGTAGACATTCTTCAATTTGGTCGTCCGCTCCAGTTGTTCTTGTGGTGTAATAATAGGGTCGTGGCCATGTCCATCGCTCGCTCCAACAATGGGATCGTAAAGCTCCTCGAACACGGTTACGGTTCCCAGTTGTATGTTGAGTATAGACACCCAGGCATCTCTCCAAGCTTTTGATGCTTCCATGATCTAGAGCAAAAGTCAGTGGAGAATCTCACCAACCAAGGAGGATCTGGCGACTGACCTTGGTGAGCATGTTATCTGCATCCTCAAAATCATTGAGAAGCACCGAGACTTTGGCACTGTCTTCCCCGCCTTTGCCCCTCGCCTTTGCGATCTGGCGTGACATAGAATTCATGGTTGAAGCAATTCGCTGTGTGCTTAGGTGTTCTGTTGCGTGGGTATAACAAAGTAGGTGACTGGGTTCTGCCCAGTATGTTGTATACTGGCTGGCGGGAGGTGGTCGATCAAGTAGGATAGATGGTGTGGATGGAGACCAGAAAGTAGAGGTCGTGGAAAAGCCAATAGACAGATTGTAGTATGTGGAATGGCACAGCCTCGATGTGGAAGCAAAAACAGAAAAGAGTGGTGGTCAATAGCGAAAAGCGTGAGGCGCAAGCTATCGAGGAGCTGTGGGAGGGTTGTTGGATGCTGCTGAAACAGGTCGCGGGGCCCCTTGTGCACATCAGTCAGGGCTGCGGCTTGCGCCTAAAATGACATACCGCCCCTCATTATAATAGTCTACTCCGTACTGTATTCATCCCAACAGCGTCCTGAAGTCTGGAATAGAAAATGAAAATGCAGAAACTCGAGGGGTCTTGGAGATAGATCTAGATTGTACAAGTAGGAGACCCCCTCTTTCATCCGATAGTTCAATTTTAAAGCCCAGACTCTGGGTCATCCCGCCCGTAGTTGCTATTTTTGGAAACGACCCTCCGTACACGTGATGCATCTTACTTTCGCGTTTGACTGGGAAGGAAGGCGCGTCGCGTCAAACCTCTACTACAGTCCTTCAGCTTGGCACAAGCAATCACACAGCACCCTAGTAAATCGCGTATGCCATGAGTTACCCCCAGCAAGAAATCTCTGTCTATCATGGCCGCCGTCTACAGTTCAGCAACATCGATGGAAGTTCCCCAAACGCAAAACACAGCGCCCGTCCTCGAATTCAGATGTCTCTATACCCAGCAAATACGGCAGAAGGCGAAACGTTGGCAAGATGGCCGGCTCAAATATCACACATTCAACAAGCGGGTCATGGTCTACGATGAACGGTCGAACTTCGTGGGCGATACACATTGGCAGGAGGATACAGAGCTTGATGAGGGGGAAGACCTTGAACTAGAACGCAACGGGTTCCTAGTTCAGGTAGCAGATTTCATTGGCAAGAGAGATCAGGACCTCACAGAAATCGTGGACAAGAGGATCAAGGAGAAAGGAGAGAGGGCCGCGGCGAAACTCACAGCGTCGCCCGCGGTTGGACGGGCTCAAGAATTCGGTACACCAGCGCCTTATTTGAAGCCAAAGCCTCTCAATACATTGTTAACCCCTACTGGACACTATGGAAGAGCTGTAGTGTCGGGTAACTCTCCGTTTGAGGAAAAGCAATATGTCAATGGCAGTGGGGGTGGGAACGAAAATGAACCACCTGCGAAAAGACGGAAGCAAAACGAGTCTTCACAAAGCAAGAATGGGTACGCTCAGAACTTGATGGGCGCCTCCTTAACTTTGGCATCTTCGAAACCTCCAGGTACAGCCTCGATACGCTACGAGCCCTTCAAGACGAAGCCCTCTATATCACAGCGGCCCCCAGTGACCATAGATCTCACATCAGACGATGACGGAGAGGTTGGAGCTGTCACTTCGATGAAGTCTGGAGCAAGAGAAAGTATCTTGGGGAACAGGCGAAAAATGACACAGAAAACAAAACGACATAAGTCCCCTCCGGCCAAAAGCACATACGCCGGCAACCTTACAGGTGTTTCTTTGAGTTTGTCACGACCGGACCCAGTTCAGTCGAAACGACCAAGCATTTTCCCCGCACTCAAACCAAGCTCAAACGGTCTGCGGGATGGTTCAAATTCTTCTACGGAGGAGAATGATAGCTTCCTGGATATTGATCCTTCTAGAAACCCAACACCTGCACCACTTATGAAAAGAAGAGATGCGAAGACGACGAAGGCGAAACTAAGACCAATAAGCCTCTCTCCTGCCTCCTCTTCACCGCCAATCGAGCGCAGCAGCAAACCAAAAGCTGCTCTAAGAAAAAAGCTTGTTAATGGCTCTCGTTCTTCTTCTCCAGTACCGGAATGGCCACTCAAGAAGTGCAAAACTGTGCCATCTGTTACACGGAATGAGATGATGAATCTTCTTCCTTCTTCGTCTCCGATGATTGGTCATATTTCTAGAAAGCAAACCCCTGTGTCGTCTCTTCCAAGGACGGCCGATGTGGATGTCACACGACAAACAGACAAACAGCCTGTGTCTGCTCTACGAATAAAGGCTAGACCTCCACGAAAGATGATGATGCTGATGGATCGCCCCAGCTCTCGCTCATCTCCGCGTGATGATCTTCACCACCCCCCCAAAATTGGTAAAAAGCAGGCCAATACACCCGATGAGATTGTACATTCTCAAGCAACACGGGACTTGGATTCTTTTTGCCAAAAGCAAGAAGAGAGGTTACAAGCTCGTTTGGATGGGCAGAGAACTAGGCCTAGCTTAGACCTCGATGACTTCGATTCTCCTCTACTTGATACTGGAATCAACCATCAGGCAATTGACAAAATCTTGACCCGTAAACCAACTGTGGGCCATTCAGTAGGCGTACCCGAGTCGAATCGACCTACAAGTGCTTCGAAAGTCACCTCGAAAGATCACAGTGTGCCGTCTGCGAAGCTTGTGGATAACGGAGTCCAAGAGGGTGCAGCAGATAAGAATATTACGGACCAACGAATCTTTACTAGTAATATAGCGGATCAACCTTCTTCCAATGCAGTTGTTTCCGAGCATCTATCTTCAAAACTGCACGGAGAGGTTCGCCCAGTTCCTCCCAGGGCATTGCTACAAGCCGATGCCAATACAAATGGTTCGGACAAAGCATGGGTATTGAAGCCTCCCGAATTCGTTCTTGAAAGCAACAAGGCGACTACTTTTACAATAGATGTTTCTAAACCAGCTTCTGAGGTCACTTCTGCAAAGGCTGTGGCTGTGGCTGTGACTGTCCCACCGGCTGAGACTACAATCAACAAAGGGGAATCTATATCCAAAACGACGCCTAGGAATATGCCTCCTCGACCTCACAAACCCCCCAAAGATGTTAACGGGGCGCTCGAACCCACACTCGAACATTTTCGATCTCTCGTTAAAGCTTCTTCTACAACTCCAACTCAGCCAGAAGAGCCACCCACTCTCCCTGGAGATATGGGGACGGAACATGCAGAAGAGCCTTTAAATGAGAACTTAGATCAACAAAAACCAAAGCTAGCATCACCTGAAGTGCATTTTGAGCAATCGCACAACTCGCCTTCGGTCGAACAAGCTTTGCCGACCGAAGCTAGGGATGCGATTAGTTTTGGGTTTCGTTCAGCAAACGATTTACATGCTACCAATGCATCTGAAGTAGTCAAGTCCTTGGCGGCTACAATAATGAACCCTGCAACACGTGGGAAGTCCCTTCAGAAAACGGTTACCGAAAGCAATGATGCGATGGCCCAGTCTTGGCAGGCCGTCATGCCGCCGCCTCCCGCCCCGCGAATCTTGCACCGGCCCGTAACCCGCGTGGTCTCGGGCCGGAACGACGTCGACGTTGTAGAGGAAGGGCAACAGAGTGGTGGTGTAGATGACGTGTCTCTTGCTGGCCCTTGGAGCAGGGAATCTTTTGATTTGTTTGGGAGCTGGAGGCCTCCTGGTAGAAGTAGAGCAACAAATGCTGGACCAATAGCTGGCTAGTCACGAGATATACACAATCGCACACGATTGGGGAAAGGCCTACTCGGTGTATCATAAACCTGGCAAAAGATCCCAACCTCGTATTGTGATGAAGCCGGATCCTCTCGATTCTCGATGCAATTGCTTCGTATACTTCGTAAGCTAACCAACAGTACAGTACAGTAGTGCCAAACTTCAGTGGCTTGATCCTTTGAAACGAGATGCTCTGTACCTCCGTAAAACAATCACACGTGCGGATGAGGCTGATTGAGGTGGCAAAAGATCTGCTACGGTCACGGTCTTGAATCTTGATGATTCGACTACGAATACTCGGTATACACAGTAGTAAGGTACCTCCGTAAGGGGCAGGTGCAGGAGCAGGGCAGGGGCAGGGCAGGGGGCCTCAATCTGAGTGTTCCCCTCTTGCACTGCCACAGTGCCACACAATTATCATCTGGATTGGATCTCGCTTCAGGTGCCAAATCTCTTCTCTTCATTCTCTCCTCAGCCGTTCACGCGCCTCAATTGATCGTCATCAGAAAATTCTTCATCATCAACAGCTTCAATTGCGCGAATATGGACGGCGGTATTTTATCGTGCTGTTTGATCTCGAGTGTATCGATGCCTTCACCGTCCCTCGACCCTGATGCCAGTTGTTCTACATACAGTACAGTAGCATTCCTCACCGGCACCCTGCCTTCAGGTTGGCTCGGTTGAGGGCGGGCGGCGCCCCTTAAACTTGTGATACTGCCCGCGAGTGAGCCTTGTCTCCGTCGCATTTATACTTATCCAGGCCTGCTGCCTCCATCATCCAAAGTTAAGTTAACTCTCCTTGTCATTCATCGTCGGACGGGGAAACGCTGCATCGTACTATATCATCCGAGAGGTCTCTTTCTAGGTCAACAAGACCTCATTCACTGACTTGATCCTCTTCTGCTCAAACCCCCGCAGCCTCGACCCCTCCTCTGTAGCCTCGACACTCAACCTCCACCGCCGCTTCACAATGTACAGACCACCGACTGGAGATCTGCACCAACTATCGCCATCTACCCCTTCGAGGCTCGCTCATTCCAATCTAACTATCAGGACATCATCCACCCAATCGACACGACCATCACCAGCACCTCAAGCCACAGCCTCCCCGCCAAAACAGCCTTACCCTTCGTACCCTATTCCTATACCCCCCAAGAAGCTAGACAAGGCATTGAGTATCTACAAAACATACAAAGAGGCTTTAAAAGAGGAAGAGTTTGCCAAACTTCAGAATGGTTCTCTATCTGCCACGACCGCTCATCATGGTTTTCACCTCAGCGTACCAGGAACATCCGCTCCAGGCTCTGTCACCTCTCACACATCCTCAGGTCGTCTTAGAGCTGGATCAGCTTCGACTTCGCAGTATGGGGCGACTGAAATATCGTCCGTCATGTCGTTCAACGGTAACGAGAGCCCGTTGTCTGCGAATCCCCATATCGAATTGAGCACGTTTGATGGGAAGAAAGTTAAACGTCGGACGAGAAAGCAGTTTGATAAACCACGCAAAGCAAAGACGGCCTTGATACGCCATCTAGGGTCATGCTGGGTCTGCCACGATCGGAGAGTTCCGTGTGACTTGTTCACGCATCACGATGTTCAGTCCCTCGAAGATATCCTTCAGGCTCGATCGAATAGACGCCGCCCACATTCACAACATCACTCGCGATCTTCCCTCTCGAATGCCTCCCGACAAAATGCTAGATCTCTATCAGCGGGGCACGCTACGATAGAACAGCCAGACGCATTGTTGGGTCTGGGCCAAAATGAAGAACTGCAAAGTTCAGCACCATTCGACATGACCTATCTCGACATTCCATCCCCTGCTCCAGGGGAACCATCGCCAGGCATCTCAGCTCCCGCCACCATATATCATAATACCCCCGATTTTCCAGCTCTTGGTCCTAATCCATATGGCCTGTATCAAAACGGCAACATGTTCCCCATTGGCGTCCAACATGGCAGCTATTTCATGTGCTCACACTTAGACGGCTGCTTTGAACGTTTCGCCGACCTAGAACAGCTGCAGAATCATTTCGAGGTTGCGCATTTCGCTTTTACTCGAATTGATCCGGCTCACAGATATGTTTGCTTATCATGTCAGCACTACAACGAGACTATCTCTGCGCCTTGCTACCACTGTCACGGATTCGTTGAGATTTGGATCTACGGGAACTTCATCCACAATCCTTCACATCACCGGTACTCCCCAGATGGCCAGGACTTATCGATGAATAGCGCATCGTCACCTTACTACCCCTCAGCATACAACATGCCGACGCCAAATGTCCCAAGTAACCCAGAAAACCCAGACATGAATGGTCGGCACTTCAACAACACGAGAAACTATGACTTCCAGCCCAACAATTCCTACGGAAGCGGTCCGAGTCCTAGGTACGACTATAACCCCCCATCAAATGGCAATCAGTTCCATGGCAGCCAATTCCAACTACGAGCATGGAACTCCGTCCCCGTCTCCGAAAAAACACCCTCGCTTCAACTCCAACACCAAATTCAAGCCTCCAAGTCCCGTAAACGGAAAGCCTTTTTCACCCTCGCTCTCCTCATTACAGCCCTAACTCTCTGCTGCTCCTACACCTGGCTTATGACTAAAGCCCGCACTCTCATTCCCCATTCATCGCCTGCCAGTCTGCCCATCATAGGCTTCGTGGGCATTGTAGCTTCGTTTGCCATGTGTTCGAGCGTGAAACACTTTACCGTGCGCAGGGCTCAATGTGTAAGTTTTCTTTTCTTCTCCTCTCTTCTTCCTTTTCTGGGAGAGATACTGCAGGTACGTTAAGAGACACTGGGCTGATACATAAGCATGCAGAGTCCGCAGAAATGCCCGTTGTATGTTTTGGGTACGAGAAGTAGGCCGATGAGAGTTCTGAGGGAGAGGGCGCCGGATACGTATGTAAGGGATGGCATGTTTTCGTGACGATGACTCTTTGCTCCTCCATTGTACTCAATCTGCATTCGCGAATTTAGGAAAGGGAAGAGTTGTCATGATAATGATAATGATAGTGATGGTAATGATGATGATGATTTACAGGACTCGTGTATTCAAGTATATAATAATGCCGCGCAACTCTACTTTTCTTTTCTTTTCTTTTCTTTTCTTTCGTCTGTATATATTGTTTGTTTAACTCACTCAGGGTTATATTGGTGTTGGGATTGAAGAGTTTGTTTATCTCACTTGGCGCATTCATTCATTCATTCATTCATTCATATAGCGTTGTACGAGCGAGCGAGCGTGCGTGCGAGTTATATATATGCGTGTATCATATACCAGCACTTCCTTCCTTCCTTCCTTCGCATTCCTCTATAAAATAAAAACGGGATGTGTAGGTCGTCAAGAAAGAAAGCAAGGAAGGAGATTGTGTTAGAGCAGAGCACAGCACAGCACAGCACAGCACAGCACTCAACTCACTAGCTAGCGTATTAATATACTGAGTAAATATACAAATAAATATGAATCGCATGTACTTATAGGGCCCAGGTGGATAGTTGGAAGATATAAGGGGATCGCGGGGTAGCGATGGAGATACAGTATAGATAGATGGGGAGGGCGAGGATGGATAGGGTTACAGTATTAAAGGCCGAAGAGGTTGATGAGATTTACTTCTCTTTTGTGTAATAAAGAGCGAGCGCATCATGTAACTTCTGGAGTAAATTTAAAATCGCCGTTGATTGTATGCTATCCTATGGATATCTTTCATAATCATCAACGGCATCCATCTCCACATGTTTTCTCATAACTAAATCGACTATCTTCTGATATACTTGCTCAATCTTTATAAAAGAATCCTCCAGAATCCTTTCACAGAGCAATAGCAGTAAGATTATCCATCATCGCAAGCCATTGGGGTCTTCTGTGTCCAAGATGATCCAAATCTTTGGATGGGTTATTTTGAGATGAATAGGACTAAACGTTTGTTAGTCTTATGATCTCAGATTATCAAGGAAGGAGGGGAGCATACGCTTGGAGAATCGACTTCGAGGTTTACACCATAACAATCGTTTTGCGTACCACCGAGTAGTGACAACATCGTCGCCACACCAGACAGTGAAGGGGGATTTGCCACAAGCGCAGCACATACTGCTACTCTCGCGATTGAAGCCAATGAACTGCCTTCAGTCCATTCCTGGCATCCCTTTTGAAAGTCCTTGAAGAGTATCGTATTCGACACAGCCAGGACAGCGAGACAAGCTAATGCAGCGAGTTGAACTTGTCGTGGGGCGGAAAGCAAGAGGGCGGAGACGTGGATGAAGAGTGATAGCAACATTGAGACCGAGGTCTGGGTAATCTATTACACGTTAGCCATATTATTCAAGTTGGGGGGACTGGTAGGGTTAGCATACAGGTGCGACGAGAGCCGAGGCCACAACTGCACACACAAGGACCTTGCTGTAATGCAAGACGGCATCGAGTACAGGAGCGGAAGCGACAGCGCCCACGTTCGAGACAGTAGTTCGTGGAATTGAACCACGCGAGAATGCATCATGAACTTCAAGCTGTGATTCATCTCGGGAACGTCCAACATACTGTAGCGACGGGGCAGCGGTGAGCTGCTTTGCATGAGCCTCCAAAAGTCTATCGGAAGGTGCCTTCACAACAGTATAATCAACTTGCTTGGTGAGAAGTGAGTGTGTGTGTGGATACGTCACGGCGAATCCAGAGTCTACGCCTGGAGCAAATGCTCCTTCGTATCCATCTTTGTAGAACGCGAGGGCATATCGCTTCTCGTCTTCTTGCAGGAGAACGGCATGAGAATCAGGTCTTGTTGGTGTGCTACCGCTATCCTGTGCATTTAAGTGATCATCGTACAGTGACTCAATACCAGAAGCGGCCCTTGATTCAGTGTGTCTATCACGATCGTGTCCTTCGGTAGAAGGAACGAAGAGCTGCAAGTTGCGGCCAGAATTGAGTGGTTGATAGAAGTCGCCGCCAGCGCTGGGGCTTCCAGTGCCTGGAGTTTGGAGACTGTTGATCCTTGCACATAATGAGCGGAGCAACTTCCGTATCTGGAGTTGACATTGCGGAAGGTACCCTTGCGGCAATGGTGAATCTTGGACTTGACACTGTCGGAGCGTTGCTGAGAGCCTTTGGAGTTGTTGGCCAAAGGCATAAATTTGATCGGCCGTATCTCTCCCAACATCATCCCGCTGGATATTCGCATTGACCGTCGCCGAGTTATACTGTACAAGTACGGTTCGAAGTTTCTGAAGATCGCCAGAAAGGGATGGGCATTCTGCTGGTCCTTGTTTGACAGATCTTAGCGATTCTGATACAATTGTGCAGGTATTAGCAAGGCCAAAGACATCGTTAGAGAAGCCTAATGAGCTTCTTGTCGGTCGGGCGGGATTTTGTAGGCTTGTCGGAGACGGGGAGGGTATTCCTTCCCGATGTTGCAAACCCGTGTAGGCGCGGGTGGCTGGACGTTCTTCTTGAGCTGTACTGTGAGCTATCCTATCTGTATCATAGCCTTGGCTACTACTACTACTGCTCAATTGCCTACTCGCGAGAGCTGCAGCTAGGCTTTCATGGCCACGCCTCGTTTTATCAGTTGACTCGGTCCAGTATTGGTGGTTGTCAGTTTGCAGAGATGATCTCGAGCTGGAGAGTGATCCAGCTCCGCTCCACTCTGCAGGAGAGTAGTTGCTTACGGCTGTAGGTGAGCCGTCAGATCGTGATTGAGTATGGCTTAAGTAAGTCGACGTCGTACTGTCATTCATTGGTGATAGATCGGACGATGCCTGGCGTACGCTTAAGCCAGTTCCTTCATCCAACGAGCGTTGCGATAATGGTTGCCGCACATGGCTATTGGACTGAGACGATGATAATGAATCGCCGGGACCATCAGGCCAAATCTCATCAGCAAGCGTCCCAACGGTTTGTGGGGAGACGTTGGCAGTAGAGAAGATCGAGCTTTCGCCCGACTCCTGAGAGAAGGAAGATGGCTGGGCCCTGCGATTATAGATAGAATCTGCAAGCGCATTAATCCAGCTGTCTTGCGAGTTCACATCTAGCTGTCCAGCATCTTGCGTAAAAGATGATGGATGCGGTCTTGAATGTGAACTTGGGAGGCCTGCCCATTGATCCATCCCAAGTTGTGGGGTGGCAGGCAGGTAAGAGAGTTGGTTGAAGTCGACTTGCTGCATCGAGTCGAAATTCGAGAAATCGAAATCACCCGAGTTCATTGGAATATCGAGGTTGATATCGAAATTGAATTGACTCAAATCGGCATCCTCAGCAATCGACATGTCAGCTGGATTCCACGAGGAACCATCTTCAGGAAACAGAACGAAGTCGTCCATCGCGCCGTAGGATGGAGTGTTGCTCTGTGATGGAATTGAGGATTCTTGTGATAACGATGGTGTAGATAGTGTAGGACTTGGGTTCACACGACTATTACTACCACCACTACTACCTGAGAGGGTCTGCCCAGTCGAGACTGTCGAGGATCTTGACATCTCATTGCTTTGCCGGCTATGTGATGGGTCGCACTGGATGAGAATTAGCCAAGACTCTCAGTCGAGGTGGGATAATTGACTCACTCGGATCTTCTTCTTCTTGCAAGCGTCGCAAGCCTTCATGATCCGCATCAAATGCGCATGCTCTCTCTGCTCCTTGGTCTTGGTACCACGGCCAGCAGTGCTAGTCACATCAATGCCGTCCTTGGTCATGATGGAGAAGCCTGGGAGTCTGGCCTCAGCAACCTTCTTGGCATCCTTTTTCGCAGGCTTCTTGCTGACTCTACCTCCGGATTTTCTCGCAGGAGGGGTCATGCTAAGAGAACCATACGCAGAATCGCCGAAGTTCATCGAAGCAGAAGGGCTAGGAGTATACATGGAAGGGCTGAAGGAGGACTGGGATTCGGATGGGGACTGCTCAAAGGCGAAGACATTGTAGGTTTTGACCAAGGCGCCGGTGTTGAGGTCGACAGTGGCATGGTTGTAGAAATCGATGGTGACTTCGGACAGCTTCCTATAGAAGAATTCGATTTAGCAACTTGCTCGTAGTTTGATAGATAATACAGACGCCGAGGGGCATTCAAGTTCCACGGACTTTGAAGCTGAAAATCAATGGAATGGCAGCCGACTTACTCCTGCTTGGACGCATTGCCCAGAACGTAGGCATCGACCAATTGCTCAAGCTCTTGAGAACCAAGAGCAGGAACAAAATTGAGAGGAGCGCCCAAGAAAGGCTGGGTGATGGTGAAGGAGGTGAAAGGGTTAGTGGAGGCCATTGCGATTGCTGGTGGTAGCCTTATCGGTTTGAGTGGTGTTATTATGAAATGTGGAGGGGTAAAATAGTAGATCGGATGATCGGAGTATGCTAAAACTATTACTGTACAAGTATTCTCGACCGATTGACTCAGACGTCGTCTTTGAACAACGACGGCGATGAGGTCTTTGGGAGAAAGATTTTAATGGGGGGGGATGAATGAATGAGTGAGATGCCTGGGGAAGGAAGAGGATCTAATAATCCACGGAGTAACCCTCAATTACAGTCCCATGGCGCAGCGCCTCCCGGCGAGTCAGAAAGGGAAAGTGCGCCCGCATTAGTTTTGCTCTTCGCCGGGACTAAAAGGGTTTAGTTCTCTACAGATGACTGACTGCCTTACAGTAGGATGCTCCATCACGCGTTACCCATCCTCATCTCATGTCTTATGATTGCTCAATTGTGACTCCCTTTCTCGAGAGGGGAGAGCGAACAAGATATACCTCTGCCCACCACACACACCCTCCGAGGGCAGAGGCAAAAAGACACTTTCGTCCCACCGTCACCTTACAACGTTAACATTACACTGCTTGACAATTGCTGGTAATGCTTTCCACTTGTTTACGTTGAACCAAACCAAACAATTCGATATACAATTCCCTGTCTCGCATCCATGCCCCAAGCTTGAAGGGCAACTATACTCGAAGACTTGCGCTTGTTCTGATGCATGGTCACGAGGAGACACACACACGTGAGCCAGGGCCAGTTAACCGATACGTGTGTGACTGGAACAAAAACTGTCCCTATTTAGTTCTGATGAAGTCGCATCTGGTGAAGGTGTTTTGAATCACCTTGTGCTGAATACTGTATTAACTTTCCTTATATCGAGGATGTGCATGGGCAACACTTTAGATATCATCGTGGGAGGGATTCCGGACTGGATATCCAATCCCGGTATTCACATTTTCTTTTTGAATAATCGACTGAATAGGATATCCTCATCCTCGGCCCTTCATCCTCTCCTCGGCAGCTCTAGCTCTCCGCTCCCTCTCTAGCCTCATCCTCTGTTCGGGCGTCAACCCCCTAGATTCTTCCTCCCTCTTCTCCTGTGCCGTCTTAGCTAACGCAATCATTCTCCCCCTCCCCTGGCCTTTCCCAATCGGCCCATCCACCACCTTCGGCCCCTCTTCCTTCAAGCGTTCTGTCTCAGCCTTTCTCCTCTCGGTCTCTTTGGCAGCTTCCTCTTTCCTCTCCGTAGCAGCGCGCGCGTCGGCTTCTAGCTTGGAAAGAGCGGCTGGGATACGGGCCGCTTCCCAATCCCAGGCCGATTCGCCTAGTTCGGAGCGCGATACTCGGAAGGCGTCTCTCGTGGCTCTATCACCCGCTAACTCGAACGCCGTTTTCCCATCCCCATTCAGCACCGTAGGATCGGTGTTGCCTTTTACCAGCAGTCCTGTTACTAGCGGAGCGGAGTTTTGTGATGCGGATAAGTGTAGAGGGGTAGGTGCGTGGTGGTTCTGCTCGTGTGGTTGGAAGAGGAAGTTTGGGGAGAGGGAGTTTGACTTTAGGTAGGAGAGGAGAGCGGGGAGTTTGGAGCGGCGGATTAGGGCTTGGATTTGTGAGGTGTGGAGTAAGGCTGTTTCTTCCTCTTCGCTCCTCTTAGGCGCTGCAGTAGTAGACTGTTTCGCGGCTTTTTGTGCGGCAGATTGCTTGGCTGCTTCTGAAGCTGCGAGTTGGGCGGCTGCTATGGCTTCTAGATCGACTGAGATGACTTTGACACGGGTCAGTTCGACAAAAGATCGCATGAGTTCGTTTTGGGTTGCACGGCGTGTGTTGAATGGGAAGCCGCGGATTCGGGGGTCGTTTTGTCGGAGGATCTGGGAGTCGTAGGGGCCGAAGAGGGTTCGTCTGTTGGTATTTCCCGTGGCTCGAATGAATATCAATTCTGAGGTATCGATCATGCCTTTCCACTCTTGAAGTAGTAACCGGACTTCGTCAGTGAGGGCCTGCTCGTTGTATCTTCGTAGACTTGATCCTGCTGAATGGGCGGCTCCTTTCGCTGAATCGTTTGCTGATTGGGCTCCTCCTTGCTTTCGACGGGTTGTGTAGCGGTGGAATGTCTTGTGTGCTAGCACTGTTGCTTCGCGAGATAGGGGTCCACTTGCTGACGATTTCGTTTGTTTTGGTGTTAAGGAAACTACCATAGCCGCAAAATGACCACCGCCAATCATGCATAGAAAGATATGTGGTCCGCTGTATGCTTCTGGCAACGGGACGCCATTACTCGAGTCTGTTGCAATTTTCTGTTGGGGCTTTGGAGTAAGTTGTTTCTTCTGAATGATATCAAGGATCGAGGCCTCCTTCCCCTGCTCTGTATTCGTGAATATTGCCCGATATATGCCCAAATATGTATTTTCCGGCAGCGTAGGAGTCGTAAACCAGAGCAAAGGCGCTTTCCCTGACCCAAGCTTCTTCTTTTTGGGTGTTAATTCATCCTCTTCGTTACCTTGTGATGAGATTGCCGCTTGCTTTTTCAGCAAGGCACTTAATGTAGTATCTTTTCGCGGTTCGCCTGCTTCATCATCTTCTGAGTCTGAAGAGTCGGAGCCTGATAGACTCTCGTTCAGGTCTTGATATTATTAGCCTAGGCCCTTAATACTCGGATGTGTCCATACCTCCTACTAGCTTCTCAAAGTCATTTTCCGAGACTGGCTTTGCTCCCCGTATCCGTTGTTTTAGATTGTATCCATGTAGATCTGATCTGACATGACCCCTCTGGTCTTCCACTGTGTGAAATTTCATGCCGCATAGTGAACATGCATTAGACCCTGTAACGCTTTCCGCTCTTTCTTCGGTAGTAGGTGTATCGGTAGGAGGTGGGGAGCTTTCTTGTTCGGGTTCGGCGTCTTCTTTGGGTGTCAAGGTGGAAAGGATGTCTGCTGGTAGGTCGTAGACTGTAGTAATGTTAGTGAGGCGCAAGAATAGCAGTGTAAGAGTAAAACTTGCCGTATAAAGGTCTCCGAGTAACTTCCTCTTTCCGTTGATCCATTGCTTCGATAGAGGCGGAAAGGCGGGGCGGGGTAGGTGGAAGGAGAAACGGTGGGGTTTTAGAGGGAGGTATCAAATCTTGTTGAATGACAAGCAAGTCTTGATTAATGGCTCCAAATAGGACCACTTCTACAGTCTTTATTTCTAAGCGTTGCCCGACATATGGAATCTTTCTGTCGTTGACTCACGCCGCATTAAAAAGCTGAGGTGGATGTTGACTTGATGTCTGGGCTTATCGCAGATCACGTGTTGATAGCCAAGCCAATACCCCTGATATGACGTAGTGATTCAGTAGGCGGGGAGGTGATAGGCCCAAGCTAGCCAAGCTCCTTCCAAGCCAAGCTCCTGGTGCTCCCTTTCAGAAGCAGGGAACAGCTTGAAGGACACAGAGAGATGCCAAGATCTAGACTTTCGTTCCCCTCTATCAATTGGTCTTCAATCAATCCATCCATCACACCCAAACACCATTTGGCGGGGTAAGGGATCGTCCAGCTAAAGGTTACGGTTACCTACCACTCATCACTCATCCGTCATCGACTTTTGGGAATCCCATCCCATACATAAAAACAGCCTTTCCCTTAATAGGTAGGGATTCTTTTACAGTATTCTTTTACACGACACGACACAACACAAAACATCTAGAGCAACAAGCTTCACATCAAAATGTCTTCGTGCTTTGGATCCAGAAAGACCTCGAGAAATAGCGACACTGAGCCACTCCTCCCGCAGTATGCAGACGACACGTCCCTCCAACGCGCAGCTCACCAGAAGATGCACTCCTACCAGATGCTACGAGCGCTGTCCAAAGGTTTTATGCCGTCCACAGAGCAAGTAATCATCAACCTCAGAACCCTCTTAGCCTCTGATGTCTTAAACCCCGAGACGCCAGGCTTAAGTGAGAGCGGACGGAAACTTGTCAAGTATATGAAACAATGGGTCGCGCAGTTTATCGAGCTGGTGAAGAACAAGAATGATGGAGATCAAATTCAAGATTTCATCTGGTATATAATCCATGCAAGACTTCAAATCGATACTGGTGATCTTGTCAAGACCGCCACATCCACGAGATCAAAGGCGGATGCTTCAGCTGGTACGTCATCTGATATTCGTTTGGAATTGTCTCTAATCATTCTACAGCCTACGAGAGCATCAGAACAGTCGGCAGTCTGCTTTTGACGAATTCTGATTTCCGTATGTTTTTGTCTGATCTGAATACTATTGGACGACAAGTCTTTGCAGACACCGCCAACACCATCTCCAACGTTGCAGAAGATGCAGCCAAGAAGATCGAGCCATCTGCAGAAGACAGTGAAACTGTCAAAAATCCGGGAAGCGAGCAAGGCCCACCACCTACGAACGAGGATCTGACGGCCGATGCAACAGAAATTGCGGACGTAGTCGCGAATGGCGTCAAGAAGACTGGAAGGGAAGCAGGCGCTAGTTTGAAGGAGAATGTTACCGGAGACCAAAAAGACACATTGACCTACCGCCTGAAAGCGGCCGTAACGAAGCTCCGCAAGAGGAACGATTATTCGGATTCTGTCTCTACCATTGGACTTCTGATTCAGAGATATGCGAAAGTATACTCACGTGCTGTGGATAACACCATCAGCACTGTTCAAGACGATGTGGACACGAATGAAGCACTTGACCGTTCAATAAAAAACGGATGGTCACTGCTCAGCTCCTTCGGAGACAAAAAGGAATGGGAAGAGCTCGAGACACGCTTCAACAAGGTCATGGAGCACTCTCAAAAGGACCCTGAATTCGAATCCATGATGAACGAAGTAGCATCTTCCATCCAAAAGATGCTCACCGATCCTGATTTCTTCGAAGCTGCTGAGAACAAGCTTGAAGAAATCAAAGAAAAGTCCAAGGAAGTAGGCACCGAATCTCCTCTCCGCAAAGATATCGATGCCCTCATCGCCCAAACTCGCAAAACCCTAGACTCAGTCTTAAATGACACCGACGTCTCCAAGCTTGTCCAAACTTCCCTTCAAATCTGGAACATCCTCAACCCCACCAACACCGAGTCAAACACCGAGCTCTTCACTGACACCTACACCGTCTTCATCCCGCTCCTCATCTCAGCAATCCAACACATTCCAATCCCCCGCCTCGAAGTGGCAGTCCCCGAAATCGACCTTCTGCTCGAGAATCTGATCCTCGAGCCCGGACGAACTATAAACAACACTTCCTTTCTCCCCTTCAGACTCAAGGTAGAAACATACAACGACCTAACAATCCACAAACGCCGCTTCCGCACCGTCTCCACCGTCGCCTCCCTCGTTACAGTCAAAGTCCAAGGCCTGTCAATCCGCGCCGATGAGGTGGGATTCTGGCTCCGAGCCCATAAAGGCCTGTTGCGTTTTGTAGATGAAGGAATTGCATCTTTCGAACTCGATGATAGGGGTATTGATATTGAAATGGATATCGAAGTAGGAAAAGAGAGATTGGAGAAAGTCTTGACTCTGCGGAACGTGAGAGTCAAGATTCATCATCTGAGTTATAAGCTTAGGAAAAGCAAATTCGCATTTCTGGGCTGGTTATTGAAACCGCTTTTGCGCCCTATTCTGCGCAAAGTGCTTGAGCGCCAATTAGCTACTGCTATTGGCAATTTCTTCCATGCCGCGAATCGCGAGTTAGTATTTGCACGAGAGAGGCTGCGCGCTACGAGAATCTCTGATCCGATTGATCTGAGGACGTTTGTCAAAGCGGTTATGACAAGATTAACGCCGGAGGAAGATCCCGATCTGTACTCTGCCGTGGGAGTCCGAGGAGGTGCGGACACGAGGGGAAACATATTTGCGGGGAAGTATGCGCCAGGCAGTGTGGTTAAATTGTGGGACGAGGAAGCGAGGAGAGCTGGGGAGGTCGTAGATGATAATGCGAGTGCTCAGGGATGGAGGAATGAGATTTTTGATGTGCAGAGTAGGGCTATGCAGCAGTAAAGCGGCTGGTGGGAACGAATTTGTATGATCATGGGTTGAGGATGGCTGGAATTCGGCGTACTTCGGAAACATAGGTTTAAGGCTTACTGTTTTTGTACCATCCAAGAAAAGCGAGGCTTTTTGCTTGGGCGAATCTTAATCCGCTCTTGATACTCGATACATTCATATCAACCTTAACGTTCATTTTTTAGATTCGCGCTTTTGTTACCTTGAGCGATCATTTGAAAGCCATCCCATCCCAAAGTCCTAATCACCTTCCTCACTTGTCCGTAGCTTCTCCAAGTCTAGTCTGTCTGTCCTGTCATGCCAACTCGATAACCGACCTGTGCATATGGTCATGCAGCGTTTTTCTTTCCCCTTTGTAGGAAATTTCAATGTACACCTTCTTGGATACCCAATTCTCATCGAGCAATAGTCAAAACCCCTTGCTTAAAGAGAAAATAGTAATGCCGTGTAAATGGAAAGAAAGATTATATAGAAACATTCAAAAGTGATTTGGGATCTTTGTATTTGCTTGCTGTTGTTCCACTGATTTTTCATCTACGATCCCAAGGAAAAGGCAAATACAGACAGACAGCATGAGCACCAATGCAGCATCAATCCAGGAAAGCTGCCCAGGCCACAAGGCTCCCCACAAGATCTACCTAGGTAGGTCTGCACCAGGTATTTTTACCTGATGTCCAGCCTTGCAGTGAAGAAATGTTTATGGGAGACCGCCGAACACTCGCCGTCACGAAACAAATCCAGGGCAGCGTCATTCTGAACTGTGCGAAAACAACCATTAAATAATCTGTGTATTATCACCTATCCTGACACAATCTTCACATTCACTAGATACAGAATCTGTGTTCTAATCTGAAATGCTCAATATCACGGGGGAACTTACATGATCAAAACGCACCTAAAGTCTCACAAGCCTCTACCAAATTCGGCATATCATCCGCCGTCTTGGAAGCAGCACCCCATCTCACAATCCCAACCTCATCCATAGCCCATCCTCCTCCAACCTGCCACCTATTCCCACTAGGGTCAACCTCCCTCGCCCATATCCCCTCCTCCTTCCCCAATTTATGCATCGCCACCTGGGTCCACGGATTCAGCAGATGGTACGTCGTGCTAACGCCGAGGCCCCAGCTCGCATACACCTCCCTCTCCTCATCAACCACAACGGTGACCGCCCACGCTCCTCCGATGGATGAGATCCATTTATCGGTTGCTTTCCGAGAGCTGTGCGAGACTGCGATGAAATTCAGTCGCGGATATTTGTTTGCAAGGCGACGAGCTTCGAGGAAGGTTTTTTCTGCAACTATTAACCAATTAGCATTGTCGTAGTATAGCAATGAAGGCAAGAAGCATACAAGGACATCCACAATGCCTCAAGAATACCACAACCGCAGGTCTGCCATCTGCAACTGGCAATCGGAGTTTGGCAGATGAAGGTGCATTTGATCCAATCACCGGCGCGGCACGGAGCTCAATTGGCGGCGGTGGAGGAGTTGCCCAAGACTGCCACGATTTGGGGACAGAAAGGTTCGCGAATGGGTTTGCGAACGGAGCTGGCGCATCTGGATCTTTTGAGGCTGGTTTCGACTCGGGGAAGGAAAGGGCGTTGGAGGGGATGCCAGCTTTGCGGAGAGCTATCTTTGCAGTGAGTTTAGAGAACATTTTCACTTTTTAACATGTATTGCAGCAGAAAATCAAAAGCATAAAGGCAAAAGAGCAAAAAATCAGAATGCAAGAGCAGGATACAGCTTACTTTAGAGTACCAGGTCTTTTGAGGGCGACACGCTCACGCTTCTCTTGCGAGCTTGAAACGGAACAGTGTCGCGACTGGTGTATGGACCCCTGAATTCAGGGGTTGGCGAGTCACATGACAGGATCCATTATCAGATTTCTTCGCCTCTTCTGAGTGCTCGAAGCTTGTCTTGACTCTTTCCTTTATATCTATATCTATAGCACGCATCAGTTAGCATCTAATCACAGCGCTGACTTCGAAATTTGAAGATCAGCTTCACGTGAAATTCTGTGCGCTATCGTTCGTTTACTTATTTAAAAACTATTAGTAAAGAACTCCTAGTCTATCTCACGTACACTGCCCACAATTTTATATCTGCGATATGAATCTTATAGTTCTTTATTTATCCCAAACCATCTTCACTCTAGACTCTGCTTATACCTACCTTACTGCACTAAACTTGCAATCTTAAATTCCCTCACTTCACTTCACTTCACTTAATTCCCTCAAAACCACAACTAAAACCACAACACCAAATTCCAAACCGCCAGGTCCATCAAACTCCAAAAGCTAAACCAGAATCTATACCAACATCTCCCCCTACCAACATTCCACATGCAAGAAGGCTTGAAAGTCAAGCCTTGCGTTGCATAAACGCGACACCTCGAACAAAATGCCACACCCACTTTCCCCGTCAAAAAACGCTAGTGTACGAGTACAAGTATTTCCGCACGCTAAGTTATATATATAATTCAAATCCTGAGTTAAGGATATGGCAGGGCAATTGGGGAGAAAGGGGGGGGGGGGGGGGGGGTTTGGCGGCGTTTTAGGATAAAGAAGGTGAGGATGTAACGCGGAGTTGGAAGGGACATAGGGGAAAGCCGAGGAGCTGAGGGCCTGTTGGATGGATTGCGGATGAGGCATGAATGGTCGAAGTAGCATGGGGAAGGGAAGAGTATCGGGCTGCTTTGAAAGAATATTGTGCCTCCCGTTACGCTGTTGTTTACATTTTATATTGAAGATCGAACGAAGGCGCTTGAGGAGCCGACATAAAGAATCTTGCACTAATATTCATACTTGGAATGAATGCACATCTTCTTGACTTCTCAGACACATTTTGAAGATTTTTAAGTTTCCTTTTATTTATCATCCGCTGCTATGCGTTTTGCTTCACTCATATCGACAGCTCCGCCGTTACGCAGGGTATCACTTCCCTACTGATCTCATCTCACTCGTAAAGAAAAACCCCGGAATATTCTTATAAACATACAAACAAAGGATGTCATGCCCGCCCCGCCAAACACCCTTATTTTCTCGTATTCATTCCACCCCTTGTATTCATCAGATGAAGATCGTATATGCAGTATGCAATGATGGGGGAAATGCCATGCCAGCCATGCCAATCCCAGACCTGCTAAGGAGAAAACACAAAGAGAATAAAGTCCAAGAAAAAAACCAACACAAACCCTGGCCCCCGTACCCGCTCGCAAATGCATCAAGTTACACACAAACAAAAATATTCATCTTTTTCGAGACGTAGATTTTCCATCGGCTTCGTTGCCATGGATGAGTGACTGTTCAGTGTTGATTGTTCATCAGAGCTTTTTCCGAATCAGAAATTGTCGCCATAGAACACGCCGATGCCATTGTGAAAACCAGATCAATCCCTGCCCTGCCATCTGTACAAGTCATGAAAATCCTTAGGAACATTCTGATTAGGCACATCAGATGGAATCAAAGGCATAATGCAAAGGAAACCAAATTGACGGGAGGCTGGCACAAACCTATCGCGCAAGTTCATTTGAGAAACTCGGCACGAGAGGTGTCGCATGGCTACAGATATTCCTAAGAATCTGCAGCCTTTGTTTTGTTCTGTTCGCATGGAGATGACCCGGTATCTAACCACCCTTTCGCTCCGAGTCGTTTTTTGGGAATCTCTCAACTTGAGCTTGGCCATTCATAATACCCCTGGTATCTGCAGAAGATCCCTTTTTCTTGCCCTTCGAGTTTGGGGCCTTTTGCCAAGTACCTGGCCCACTACCCTCGCTCTTAGCACCTCTTATATGCCCATTCTGAGCAGCAGTAAGAGTTTTGCTTTGGCTAACATGAGCAATGCTGAGGTTCTGTGCGGATTTCAGAAGATCATTTTTGTCCGCCGAAGCCCTCGCAGAGTGCCCATTTGCCCTTAGGCCAGTTAGAGGTTCAAACTTTCGACTCGTAGTTGGCGATGGAGTTCGGGTTTCGAAAACGGGAGAAAGGTGTGATGAATCATCGCGAGGCAACTCAGATTGGCTTGCACCAATGTCGAGGGGAGACATGCCACCATTTTGTCGAGCTAATCGATTTCGAGAGTTTGGAGAAAGTCGAGAATGGTTGAAAAGATCTGCAGCAATCAAGCCGCTTGGTATATTGATTGCAGGAGGAACGGGACCTGAGTTCGTTGAAGAGACATCGTAGGTTTGTGGATTAGACCCATTCACAACCATAGGAGGTTCAACTCTGCCCTCGGATCGATATTCTTTGGGTGTGACCTGGCCGGAGTGATCTTGATCACCTGAAATATCGCTCACCGACGCCTGGGACATCGAGTCCATTGACCCAATTGGGGTATCACTCCCTTCTACAACCCTCGAACTAACACTAACAGAAGCTTGCCAATTTGGAATTGACACGGGTGCCGGCACATTGGTTCCATTTACTACCAATGGGGCCTGGTTCAGTGCACGGAGGTTGGAGCTCGATACACTTTGTTGCGAGGGAACAGCAGAGAGGGGGGCCGAATGAGCACCGGTAGAAAATGACCGGTCATGGCCTAGTGGTGACGGAGATCGAGAAGGCCGCTTCATTCGGTCTAAAATAGACTGTGGTAGCCGATCCGTCGACAACCGACGCCGACTCTGGTAGAGGTCACCAAAGGAAGGGATAGCCATTATGTTAGGTTCCCTTCGTCTTGAACTTGGAGCGGATTCATTCACATAGTAGCCGACATACTGCTTTGGCGTATTGTCCTCAGGGGGGCTGGTTGAAGTAGATGCTGTTGTTGACTCGAAGCCCACCTCGGAATTTTCGTCGGCAATAAAACTGGGGATCGGAGCTCCATTTGCCTGCCGTAACGTTTGGTAAATACCAAGTCCAGAACTGGGCAACCCCGGAACTGATAGTTGAGTGGGGGTGGAACGAGCAGCAGGCTGTGAATGTGACCGCATTGAGCTTGAGGATTGCCCTGCTACACCGGAACCATTTGTGATGCTTGATCTGTGCATACTTCGCCTTAATTCCGGTACAGCGGCGCTGAGTGATGGCGAGGAAGGGTTCGTATTTGGACTCTGATAGCCATACATCGGTGAGCCTGGGTATGGCACAGGGTAAAAGTACATCTCGTTACGCATCGGGGCTGACTGCGGCGCCTGGTCAAACGAGCTCGTGCGATTTCGATCCGCAGTTTGGTATTTGATTCCTCCAGTACTACTTTGACCTGGCTGCGACTGCGAATACCCTGGACTTTGCTGCACCTGCATATATCCTTGAGATTGGTTATATAATTGCATCCGTAGGCTATTCTCCTGCGCTTGCAAGACCGAATAAGTCGTGTACAAGTCGTTGTGTAATTGAGCCTGAGCTTGTCGCTGAAGCCACACATCTTGCGCCGTCATATTTGGTGGAAGGCCACCATTATACGAAGAAGAGCTGTCGAATGTGCTGCTTGACGATCTTCGATTGTTATTGCCATTCCGGTTGGTATGGCGATTACCACGATGAGCGCCTCTTCCACCGCGATTCGATTGCGAAGTACTGCGTAAGATAGGTTTTGGCTTCGGCGCTGGTTTCTCCCATATTCGTTCTTCCTCCTTGGGATATTGGTACTGCTCGCAACATTCTTCAAGCTTTGCTTGTGAGATTAAATCGAACGCACGTCTGATCTCCAAATGCAGCCCTCGAAATGAGGTGTCGTCTGCTGTGTTCCCTAGATTGCGAACCACTTTGAATGGCTCCTCGACACAGAGCATATTATTGTTTCCCAAATGCCACTTCTTCTCGAACTTGGATATCTGTCTTCCATTTCTGACCGAAACTACGTGTTTGTCGTAGTCAAACTCGTGACCATAAAATCGGAAAAATTGAAACAGAAGTTCCCCTACTGTCTCCTTGTTCTTTTGACCGAACCCTTGCAGCGCATTTAAGTCGTCCGCAAACTCGCTTCCTTGTCCATCTTTGACAGGTAGTTTCTGGTGGGGGCGTTGATGAAGAGCGGGAAGAATGGGAGGACTACGACTTTGAAGGAAGTTGATGATCATGCATATCCAAGTATACGAGCTAATGGTGAGCCCAAAGCCTGCTAGATGTTAGAAAGGTTTGTAGGCATGAAAAGCTCCTATTTTCGCCTACCTGCATCATTCACTATCCTTCTCTTTGTCCAATGTTTAATAATCATAGCTAGTTGTCGTACTCGAGGGTCTATTTGCACATAGGTCTTGATCATTCGAGTATTCTCTAGCGCTTCGACATTGTTGACATTCATGTCGCATGCAAGGCGCGTTTCCGGATCCCAGATCTTGACAATGGGTACCTTGGCCGTTGAAACGCAGATGACTTTTTCCATCCCATCTCAAGAATAATTAGCTTTGTCTGGCAGAGAAGTAGATAGTGCTCACTCTTTGCTAGAAGCTCTGCAATGATGCAAACACCCTCTAACTCCTTCCAGTTTGTGGTTATGCATACATCCACTAAATTTATTAGCAAAAGCTCCAATAGGGTAAACTATTCCACTGACCGTCTGATTCATCTGTACAAAGTAGATTGCCAGATGAACCAAATACATGAACTTGTATATCATGTCCAGGCCATTCCTCGTTGAACAGCTTCTCTAGTTTCTGCACCAGCTTTTTCCTCCTATCCTCACTGTCTGTAGTGGGCAATAACCGGTCATAAAGTTCTCTCATATCTGTTGAAAGAGTTCTCTCCTCATCTTGGGATAGCTTGCTCTTGATACTTGAAGTGCTCAGCTTTTCCAATCGTTCGCTTCCAATGCTGTAAGGTATTCGTCGCTTTGTATGTGCCATAGCGGTTTCGTACCGACATCCTCCTCGGGGACCACCGCCCGAAATTGCTCTTGAAGGGAGGGTGATATTAGATTCGGAGTATGCAGAGCGCGGAGAGTGACTATTTGTGGCATTGGGAGAAGGCTCTCTTGACTCGAAAGAGAATTGTCTCGCATGTTGATGCGGTGTTGAGGGGACAGAGTTCGATTGCTGAGAGAAATTTGTAGTTTGATGCTGTATCAGAGGTCGAGTGGGCAACTGGTTTGACAGGTCCAGCATCTTCCCCGGCATGATGGCTGAAGACTCCTTCTGGGTCACGAGCGTGGGCTCACCTTTACTGGGTTTTCGTGACTCTTTATTCCCATGACCTCCCCTCGCCGGAAATTTTGTGCTTTTTGCCGTGTTGCCGCTGCTTGAGCTCGGCCTTGAAGGTGGCCTTGAGCTAGGTCTTGAGCCGGGGCGTGATCCAGGCACAGCCTGAATATGTTGCGCGGACAATAGAGGGGGAAGTGGGGTTGCTCTTCCTGACGTGACAAGTCTGTTATACTGAGCAAGCTGAAGTTTGTGATAGGAGGATTGTTGTGGGAGGAGGATGGGGAGCAAGTCGAGATGCGGAGAAAGCTGAGATGTGGGAGCGAGACTTGGGGGAAGATTTGGTGGCGAGGTGTCTGCAAGTGTATTCCGCCGCACAAGTCGCGACCACTGTGCCGATTGATATTGATATCGAGAATTACCTGCCGGAGACTGGCCCTCCATCCATCAATCTCTCACGATAACTTGGAATCGTGGTCGTGTAAGGAGCGTCTCGAGGGACGGGGCGAAAGCGCAGTTGACGCGATGCCTCAGTCACCACGCGATTGCAAGGCGAGCCGCAGACGTAGAATTGGGTGGTTTCCTTGTGTGCGAAGGATACGAGGAGGATTGAAAGGCAAGTTAAGGTGAAGTTGGTGAGATTCCACTTCCTTCAGAAACGAATGGACGTCCGTCTAGCAGCACTGGCGAATGGCTACAGGCGTGTTGAGCAGTTTGCAATGGTGGCATACAACGACGGCCGCTAGGTGGGTGTATCTACAGCCAAGTGTAATACTTGAGTGATCTCGGTGGATGAGGATCGAGGCAAAGGGGTGCGCTGCAAAGCAGAATTGCTTTGTCTGAATACTAGATTTCCACTTTAACACGGAGACGTGAGGTGAAGGCCCTCGACTAATGTAATCTAGCGCGCTAAACAAGGGACCGGCAGGGGTTGCATGTGCTGCCGGCAGGAGCAAGACAAGACAAGGCAACTTTCACCTTCTCTTCAATTTCTCTTCCTCCTTAATAATAATATAATAGTAATAGTCACAGTCACGATACGGTGTGTTAGAACTGCGCAACGGTATGAAGGCAGATCAATCCGCGTTCTACTCGTATGCTCTATCCCAGATCTGTCTTTGGACTTGCTTACTTTTTAGCCGTAAAAACGGGAAATGCTGGATAACACGAGTATACAGCCATGGCTCTTTGTGGTCGGGCTAGCCAATGCAATCTGGGTATTAGGCGGTACAAGTCATTAGTTCTTTGTGATGAGAATAACCGCTGGCCAGCCAGTCAACAAATCACCAGATTCCAGGTTTCATTGATCACAAGAGATCAGAGGAAGCGGGGCGGGTACCGTAAAAGAAGGCTATCATTCTTCTTGTAGTAATATAACATCAGCAGTCCTCGGTCGCGGCCTCATTTGAGACACAGGTACCTACCTAGGTATTTTGCTTCTTAGAAGTTGAGGCCCAAACGAAGAAATCAGTCTCGCCTCGCCCTGATTCTACGAGTAATCCGCCCAATACGACAATCGCATGTATCATGTATCATGGAGAGACCGGCAGTCGTCCGCAATGTATTACCCCTTTACATGAGATGGGTTTCTAAAAGCCCAGACCCAGCTCATCGACATGAAACAGTTTCAAACTTGGCACTTCACCAGCTGCCAGAGTCGAACAAATCTCCAAATCTACAAGATCGGGCATAGTTACTATTACCTCCCACACTCAAAATCCTCCCAATTGAAAGGATGATGAAGCGCGACAGGAAAGCGAGAAGGATGAGCCAACAGACTGTTGTTCATTGTTCAACCACGTGGGTCGGAGCCCATTGGAAAGCCAAGCAGAAGAAGCAAGGATTTGGTAAAAGGCCTCGTGGTTGTCCTTGAGCATCGAACCGTGTTTCTTTGTACTTGGGTAGCGTGGGGACTATATGCAGCCTCTTTGGACGGAAATCTGGGGAAGGCAATTCGTCTCAACTCTGGAGAAAAGAGGCCATGGCTAGTTAGTTGCATTTGGAAGGCATTTGACCCATACCTAGGTACATACGCCACTCCCGCGTGCAGTGAACTGGGCTTGCTTGTACTGTACCTGTGCTTGTGTCTGCGTCTGTGCCTGCGCCTGTCTGGCCCCGGGCTGAGATGAGACGAGAGCTGACGGGCGATATCATCAACCTTGCTTTGCTGTGTACACAGGACGCCATTGTACGTGTCGCCGTGGTACCGTACGAAGGACATCACTATATGCATCGGCGAGGGGTCTCTCGTTGATGCAATATGCATGCATTATTGTGATTATTATTACTTCGCATTGATATTGCAAGTACTGTTGTAAATACGAAGTAACTCTAGAACGGATCTCAGGTTCCCCACACCTAACAGCAGAAACGAAGCCGAGATATGTCCGTCCCTCTTAAAGTTCATTACTGTACGAAACTCCGTACAGCAAGAGCAGGCCTCCTTTCAGCCTCACTCCCACTCACTCACTCACTCACTGCCGATCTCCCTTCCCTTCCATCCTCTTACGGGGTATCTTACCAAGCCAAGCAACCCATACTGTAACCATATCCTAAGTCCGAAAGAAAAATCGCACCAACTCCCCACAAAACACGCCGGAAGTAGCAACAACATTGGTTGCCCTGGCTTAGTCGCTCGGCATTCTCGGGACGGATGCTTACCTCCGTACAACACGGTCCACCCGCCAGTCCAGTACCAGTACCAGTCCAGTCCAGTCCTCTGAGTACCGAACGTCATCATGTGGTGATTTCACTTTC